ATACCAATTTTTTTCCATATTTCGATTCTACGACTCAAATTATGCCAAACTGCCAAATTTTGTAAAAATCGCAAGAGTAGTTTCTAAAAAATTAGCTCTCCATATTTTTAGCTTCCGCCTTGTTAATTGAGCTTGGTATATATATATATTAATCTCTCTTTTTTTATTAAACCTATTTGATTCTTCCTTTCATATTTCGAAATTTAGGATCATTCCAAATACAATTCGCCCGTTTTTTATGATTTATTTTTAAAATTTGTACTTTTAAATAATTTTTATAAATTTTTCGAAAACGATTTTTAATTATAAACTATAAAATTTTTAACATCGTCTTAAAGTAGATGCATTTCTAAGCATACCTGCAAAAATTAGATTTTTTTTTATTTAAAATTTCGTAAGATATATGAGAATTTACATTTTGGGGCCTTTTCGAGTTTTGCATATTCCTTATAAACGATAATAACGTCCAATGTGGTTTACGTACTTTGTTAAAATTATTTGAAAGAATGAACGAAGCACCTTTTTCTCCGGGTGCACAGTGAAATGGAAATGCAGAAAGGTTGCCATAAATTAAGAATTTCGTTAAGTGAATTATTCTTGGGACAAACGGATAAAAAAATGCGCTAAGTTAAATTTTTAAATTCTCCAGAAATTTCTCATCAAAAATCTCAAATTTAATATCCAAGCATAATTGGAGTCGTAGAATCGAAATATGTAAAAAAAGTGGTACGTTATTTCAGAAAAAGGTCCGATTTTGTGGGAAAATACCTATGTTAGTATAATTGGATATGTTAGTATATCTAACATACATCTGTTTCGAGACAAGGAAAACACAAGTTAAATTTCGACAGAAATATAGGAAGAATTTTTTTTTTTTTTTTAGTCTAAAGGGATTTGAATTCCGAAGGACTATTAGTTTCGTTTTGGCATTTTGCGTCGGACGGATAAATGTCGGTTCACTTTTCAAACTGTTGCCATAAAATGTTAGAGTCCTGCATTATATTTGAAGAAATTAAATAATGAAAATCTGCGTAAATGTATGTATATTTCTCGCATTGTCATAAAATAACGGTACATAGAGTCATCGAATTTTGAATAACGTAATCCTCCAACGAATATGAGCATGTGGAAGACCAAATTTGAAATTTGAAATTTGTTTTATGATCGATTTCCTATTTTTTAAAACTTTGACGAATTTTTGATTAACAAACTCAAGGATTTCAAAGCGAGCAATGGCAACGTTGTGCAGAAAAAACATTTTATCTCCAACGCGTGAGTCTCTGTATCGGAAATTCTAAAGATATGCTCGTTTTAAAACTATTTTGCGATATTGCTGTTGCACTGGATCTTATGGTTTAAGTGCGAGGAACATGATATTTAATAAAGAAAGGTAACACACAAAATGTTAAAAAACGCCCCTTTGGACGTAATTTAAAATCTGAAACATTTCAGTTTTTTTTTTTTTTTTTTTTTTTTTTTTTTTTTTTTTTTTTTTTTGTGCAGAGTGTACAATTCCTTTCAATGGAAAAGTTTTTATTTAGTAAGAAAGCATGAAATTTCATGTATAAACACCGGCTATTTGTTTCCAGTTTCAATTTCTACCTCCTTAATTTTATATCTCTGAATTTATGTCCAACGACTCACTTGCTCTGAAGTAACTTGCACGACTTTCAAAAAGTGATCTATTTCAAAAAGTGTTTTTCAAACAAGTGATCTATCAACCATTAATTTCTTATCTTCTCTGCACCTTCGACTTTCACCTCCAGCCTCAGCAATAGAAATATTGGAAGAAGCAAGCTAAACTTATTTCAATACCGAAACCCGGGAAAGATATTACGAAGCCTGGTGGATATCGCCTGATTAGTCTTTCACCCGGACTTAGTGAAATATATGACCTTGTCATACTCAACAGAATATGTCCTTACATGGATTTATTACGCCCTGAAAAATTCGGGTTCAGACGTGGATTATCAACTATGAAACAGCTGGTAAGACTAACTGAGTTCATCGGAGATGCAATTCATAATAAATCTTGTGTTGCCTTACTCATGCTAGACCGTCACTATTTAGACATGGCGAAAGCTTTCGACCGCGTCTGGCATGAGAAGCTCATTTACAAGTTGATCACCTTTAATTTCAGCAAGGAACTTATACCGCTCATTCGCTCCTTCATCACAGAGAGAAAATTCTTTGTCAAATTTGGAAATGAAATCTCAGACTACAAAAGGAGCACTGCTGGAGTAGCCCAGGGATCAATTTTAGGGCCGCTCATTTATATATTCTACGTCGCAGATTTCCATAAAGTGCAAATCAGTCAAAACCATTTCCTCAGATGCTTCGCGGACGACACCACGTTAGCTGTTAAATCCATGAGAATTGAGCTTGCTGTTAAAAGTTTTTGGATGTTATGCCTTTAATTGAAACATGGTGTACTAAGTGGCGCATCTGCATCAATGCACATAAATCGCAATTTCTTATTATTCGACGTAAGGACAATTAAGAACTTTTTCGATAAAGCGCTTACTTGCGCTCATATGAAGCACTTCAACGTATTTCATTACGTCGCACTCAAAGAGGACTTTGAAATTAGACCGTTCGCAGCTCACCTGACCAGGGACTTTAACGTTCCTACGTAGAATGTCTACCTCATAATTTCTCAACATATCCTCTCCCTTATTATTTGATTGCACATTGTACATGTACAATTCACTTAGTTTTTATGTATTCTCACGCATCTTATGTATTTATATGTTTTTTATTTGCATTTTTACTTATGCATACACATTAATTTTCAAGTTAGAATTTTCACTTCAAATTCTTACTGTACCCTCACAGCGCATTACATCAGCTGTTAGATTCACCGTCTTGCCTCTCCATTGTTCGCTTTCTATCTGGCTTAGCTCTTAGAGCCTTTGTGATGTATGGTCACCCCCCTCTTCTCACCTTTGACCTTTCTGTCACTTATCAAGATTACTCTATGTCATCGGCCTATGGCAAAATTGTTATTGAGCCAGATACGTCGCGCTCGTACTGACTGAGCAATAGTTCTTCATGCTGCTTCATGGATTTTCACGCATGTCTTACCAGTTTAGCAAGATAGCTATTTATCTCAATGTTAAGTAGACTTGTCCCTGTAATCTTATTTTTCCTGCAGAGCTCTTCAGACTTTTACTGTTATATTATACTAAAGATACTGTAATTTGACATATCGACTAAAGTTATTTACATATACACATTTTTGCAAAAGAATCGAAGCACCATGAAGGAAGTGGTTCTTTTTGATGAAATTGAATATGTCTATAGCTCATACACAGATAATAAAATGATTAAAAAATCATAGTTCCTGTTTATGGCTCAAAATCATCCACTGAGCGTTCAAATTAGTAGTTGGTCGAACCGCCCCTGGCGGCAATGCATGCTTGAATTCATCGAGGCAAGGAGTGGTAGAGGTTCCTAATGTCATCCTACGACACATTCTGCCAGGCATTCATCAGTTGTCGCTCAAGATATGCGATATTTTCTGGTGCCCGAATCTGGCGGCCCACCATGTCCCAGACTTGTTCAATTGATGAAAGGTCTGGTGACTTTACTGGCCAAGGAAGATTATCAACTGCACGGAGACAGTCCAAAGATATGCGAGAGGTAAGTCGCCTGGCATTATCTTGTTGGAAAGTGGCCCCAGAATGACGTGCCATGAAGGGTAATGCAACTGGCCGCAGGATGATATCAGCATATCGTTGAGCTGTTAAAGATGTACGGAGGATGACTAAAGATGACCTGCTGTCATAAGAAATAGGGCCCCACACCAGGGGTTATGGCTGTATGCCTTTGTAAAACAAAGGCTGATTGGGGCCGCTGGCCCCGTCCTCTCCAGACACGAACACGGTGGTCATCCACATTAAGAGTGAAGCGGGATTCATCGCTGAACACTATACGATGCCAATCTGATGACAGCCATGATGTTTGGCTGCGACACCACTCCAAGCGACTCCGCCGATGTTGTGAGGTCGAAGGCAAATGTCTTAAAGGTCTCTGTGAGCGTGACCCCGCCTCAGTAAAGCGCCGTGAGATGGTGGATGGTACCACCGCGGGAGGTATAGACTGTAGTGCGTAGACGGGAGGCTGTAGTGCGTTGAATAGTCGACAATGATACCGTTGGGGCCGTTCGGGCCTGGCGAACAATCATCTTATCTTGCCTCATATTTGTACTCCTTGGCCTTCTAGAGCCTTCATTTCGTCGGCAATTTCCTTGTAGCAACCCATTGTAGCCAACATCTTTGCACAGGAGTGTCTGTACGCTGCAGGTGGCAGCCTATTGCTCAGTATGACCACCCAGCTTCAGGCAACCCTACAATGCGACCACATTCGAAGTCGTTTAGTTGACTGTAAAGTCTTCGATATTGTCGTAATGGCGTCTTTAGTTGCTTCTTTATGGAATTACAATAGCAGCAACAAAAAAAAGATATAAATTATCCGCATCTATTATTGGTTTTATGCTTTGCGAGTTGCGCATTAGAAATGCGAGCTATGATCGCAATTCCTGTTCCTTTGCCTTGAAACTTTGATCATTTGCATGTTCGATCAAGATGTTTTTGCATACAAAATTTCGTCACGATCGCAAAAGTCTTTCTTGGTGCTTCGATTTTTTTGCAAGAGAGTGTATACAAAATTCGTAATAATATCTTCATCAAATTTTGTGCTTAACGACTTTATATTTGAATCTCTCATTGTATTTATACATTTTTAAAAAGGTGTATATTATTTAGTTTTTCTATCACTATTCAAATATCTAAATCAGTTTTCGTTTTTCACATTAAATTTACTGAATTACTGAATCGCAAGATATAGAATGAAATCACTAAAGCATTTAGGAGCACTCTTCCTTCTTTTCAAATGCTGTTTTAAGGACTTTGAATGAAAGTGCTCTGACTTAAAGTAATTCGAAGGGAACTATTACTAACTGAAATTCTAATATATGCCTTCCTTAATGATTCTCTCAGTGGATCCCGATGAACCTCAAGATAAAGAAGTCGATCCAAATCCAACTTTCACGTGCATTGAGAACCATGGTCGATTCGAGCACGATGATTACTGTGACTGGTACTACAATTGCCATGATAAGAAAGCGTCTCTTCGCGAATGTCGGCGAGGAAAATATTACGACAAGAAGAAGAGGAAATGCATACATTCTAGAGATGTATTCTGCGAAAACCGTAAACAACCTGAAGGTAAAATACATTTTACACGTGGAAATAATGCAATAAAACTGCATTTTTAAGTAATTCCATGTTAATCTGATTTATTATTTGAAAAAATTATTATGAACTTTTCAGATAGAGATATCACAGCAATATCATCAACGACTGAACAAGGTAAGAAATAATACTGTTATATATATATAATAATTTTATTTAGCATTTTCTGTCTCTATAATAATGTTGCAGTTATTTAGTACTGCACCATAATAATGTTGCAGTTATTTAGTACTGTTATGTAAACTGACGATAGAGTTTAAAAATCGTTTATACATAGAAAATACAATAATTATATATTTTTTAAATATACATTTATTTCTAGGTATTTTCAATGAGACACAATGTAATTCTATAGTTTACTTTTTGTTAGTTAAATATAAGCATATCTTAATTTCTGCTTATTCTTATTCTGCTTTATTAAATTTGTATCAAATACAAGTCAAGAATAGGCTTATATTTCCTATAAACAATCTACGATATTTTAGATTTGAATTTTATAAGAAAAGAATTCTAATTTCAAGTAAACAGTTTTATTCCTCATTAGCTTCTAGAGTTATTAGGGTTTTGTGAAACAGGAGGCGTAATTAATGAGCAATGCCCTCGGCGAGACTCAAACCTGCACCTCTCGATTATGCGCCGAGTTTGCTACCATTACACTGCAAAAGCATGCTGAAAAGAAAGAGAAAATACTCCTTTATCAATCCGAATTCATCTCCGTCCTCTATGTCCTTAAATGGATACTGAAAAGTAATTTTGCAAGAAATTCTAACTTTTATATTTTTACAGATTACACATCTTGCTTGAATGCACTTTTTAATACAGAAAATAATAATTGTCTGATTATCGATATTAAAGATGTTTACAAAAAATTATACTTACCTTTTAATATTAAGTTTGCTTGGGTTAAAGCCCGTATTGGAATACTCGATAATGAGAAAGCGGATGTGGTCTCAAAAGAGACTGCCCTGGGGAATGTTTCGGGGACGCCCAGTGTTCAAGGTTCCCAGAAAATAGCAGTCAGATCGTAGATCATCACTCGTTGAAAAGGTACGTGACCCAGAGATCTTTGCCTTCCTATATTTGTTCTGTCTCTTTTTAAAAGAGAAAATGAAATCCAATAATGGAGCAAACCTGTACTGTACGTGTACTGTACGTGCTGGAGACATCCGGTGCGGCATATTGTGGCATAAGCAATTTTAAAAACAGTAGGCAAATCTTTTAGCATATCTTAGCATAACTTGGCATATCTTATAGCATAATTTTCAGTAGAATCGGCGCTACGGCTGTAGCGAAATTCCTCCATGGCGTCCTGACTCTAGTAGCGTCTCCGTTCTGCGGGCTTACGCTTCGCGCACGCGCAGTACACATTTTTTCATTGTAACGTTTAATAATCAATTTGCTTAACCTTATTTCATATTTATTTCTTAATGCATTTTTGTTTGATATTCCATCCTATACTGGCTGTTTTAAAATTTCTTTTTAAATTTATTTGAATTCATATTTTCCACAAAGGCATCTCTCATCCAAATAATTGTTGAATGCCTTGTCATAATCAAATAATTTAAATACATTTTACAGTTTCTTTCTAATGCAGCTTTTATATCTTTATAATCTATCTAAATTTTCTATATATATATATCTATATCTATATATAAAATTTCCAGACACTTTGTCTAAATTTTTAAAAAAATTTGTAGCTAAAAAGTTTCAATTGTCGGTTTCGGCGAAACGGTAATGGGGTTAGCTTGATTCGCGTTAATAAATTAAATTTCTTGAAAAGCCATTTGGAAGTCGAATTGGGCTAATTTACCATTTTCCGCTTAACTTTTTAATTGATTCTGTTTTTTTTTTTTTAATGTTTTATATGTCTAATGGTTGATTTCATATGTATTAATTTTTTTAAAACGTGTTGAACATTTGGAGCAGCAGCTCTTGGTACTTTTGGCGAGCTTACTACAATTTTTATATATCTTATATATATATATATATATACTATATATATATATATATATTATACTATGCACATTTTGCTATATTATATGTCTATATTTTTTGCTGATTGAATTATCTTACCTATTAGTAATCCAAAAGACATACACATTATTCGTAATCGATCCTCTAATGACTAGGCTTACCATATCTTTTTTGCTCAAACCCGAAGAATTTTGAGAAAACACTCGCACAGAAAATGAAACCTGAAAAAGCAACTACTGAGAAAAAGGAAAATAAAGAAGAATTGAATAGGCTAAATAAAGACGTTATTAACAAAAAAAAAAAAAAAAAAACTTGTAAAATAAATTTTTTAGTAACTCAATGTATCATTCATTAGTGTCTAGTGTTTTATCACTAGTGGGAACTTTGTTTAAAAATTCATTGTTTTCTTTAACAGTATTGAAAAATTCACTGCAATTTAGTTGACTATTAATTTTGCAGCTTAGTAAAGCTTTTACTGTCGATTCATCCAGTTTACCTCTTTCTTCAAACCATTTTTTATGAAAAATATAATTGACAGTGTTCTTTTGATTGCTGCCAGTGTGTCTCGCATGCTTGAAAATGTAATCTATCATTTAAATGGCACTGTGCAATGAAATGTGTTTTTCTTTGAAATAACTGAAATTTTTTATTCATTTTTTTTCCACAATTTTTCTTTTTCTAACCTTCAGAATTAGCAGACCAAACCTTTTGAAATCATTAATTCATCAAAAACATTTTAGTTTGCGTTCTTAATCTAACTGTTCTCACTTTACCATCTTTTCCTGGAAGCAGTTCCGTAATCTTAGCCAACGGCCAATTCAATCTTTTCTGGATATCATCTCCTATCAACACAGCGTCATTCACTCGAATATTTGGAAACTGAGAATTTTGCTCGCAGTGCTTTCGCAGCCAAAAGTTTTTACATGCTCAGGCTAACTGCAAGAACGCACCACGTTGCGTGAAATGTGGTGGAAAGCACGAATCCGAAGACTGTGTTAACTGATCCTACCTGCTGTGCAAACTGCGAACAATTCCATACTGCCAGTTTTATGAGTTGAACGTATTATCCTAAGCTTCGCTCTGCACACGTCGTTCCAGGTGTCTCATATACAAACGCAGTTATTCAAAGCGGCAATATCCAGAAACAAACCGCACTAGCTCCTGAAATATCAGTACTTACTTAAAACCTAGACCAAGCTAAGAATGTTATTGGAAAGCTCACAGCAGCCGTAGCAATGTTAAAAGACGCATTGCAAGCTCGCCCTGGCCCTAAACCTACGGAAGCATCAGCCAAGAATAACTGCAAGAATGCACCACGTTGCGTACATCATGTATAATCTCACCGTATATGCGTGCACTGCATTGAAAATTGTTCTTTGGAACGCTAATAACATCGTCACGAAACTCCATGAACTGCATCCATTTATCTCCCAACATGACATCGATATTTGCATGTTCACGGAATCCCACACTACTCGCTCGAACAACCAGAAATTGGCTAATTTTTCAAAATACAGATGTAACAGGATTCATCACGGTGGTGGCGTTGCTCTCATATATGTTGAAAGAACTCTTGACTCCTGTTTCATCTCTGCAAACAACGCTAATGGATTTTAAGCACTGAAAGTGTGCGTCGCTTTACCTAAATATGGACCCACTGTCTTTTGTACCCTTCAGTTCCCCAGGAAACTTAATTAATAAAGTGCATATGGACTCTCTATTAAGTGCAAATATGCCAATTATACTTAGCGATTATGCCAGCGCAAAACGTTCAGATTGGAGATGCTGCAACACAAATAGAAATCGACATGTGATTCACGACTACGTCACGAATAATTCAGTCTTCCTTCACGTGCCAAATTAGCCAACCTATAGGCCTAGCATTGTCAGCAGAAGGCACGACATCCTAGACTTCGTCATCACGACTGTAAACATTCCCATGGCTCTCGCTGTGCATTATGAACTGTCCTCCGATCATATTCCAGTCATTGCTTACCTGGGAATACAGAAAAGCAAGTATTCTCCCCTATTAAAATTACCCACTAGGACCTGTTTCACAACATCAAAGCCACCTAGGAATTTAAGATTGGTACTTTAAAATCAAAAGCGACTCTGCCATTACATTATTATAAACTTTCTCATACGTTACCGTGATGATCCAACGTGCAATGTGTACAATAATTTTGAGAAGCACAAGCTTCCTCCAAACATCAGAAAATTCATGAAAGCAAGGAACCGGCTCCGAAAAGAATTCAACAGATCATGTGATCCATCAATTAAAACCGAAGTTAATAGGCTAAAGTGCAAAATCAAGGTTTTGATCCAACAACACTGAACGTAGAAATGGAACGACAAAATTTCAGTTATCAATTAGGATTCAAACTCTGTTTAGAAAAAACTAAAAAGTTTTAAAACACAAGTTGTCAAAACACAGAGACTGGCTTATAGTAACAAAGATAGGGCGAAGCGTTTTGCATAGCACATACCGTTTAAACCCAATGCATAGCCTACCAATCAGGAATCAGAGAAAGAAATCATTAAATTTGTTGAAAAATGATTAAATTTCCTAGCTCACGTAATATACTGAGCTTTGCCTCACCATTTGAAATTAAAAATATTATTAGGACTCTTAACCCGCAGAAAGCACCAGGTATTGACGCTGTGACTAACAAGATAAAAAATCTGATGTGCACACCACATGACTTCCTTGTACGGAATATTAAATAATCTGCATTTTTTCCTGCATTTCATTTAAACTTACTGAATTGAATTAAATCTACTTCGTCGATAGCGCATAAGCCGTAACAGATTAAATGCACTCTTAAAAATTCACTTAGCGACACTTTGGCGATAGGTTCACTTAACGGTGTTACATCTCATTCATTTTATAACTCAGAATGAAAAAAAAATATATCATCTGTAAAATTATCTAATCGTTGCCATATGTTTTATTCAAGTTCTACAATAAATCTAAAACGATATGTAAAAGAAATTAAACAAATAAAAAAGAAACGTTTTTCACAGACGATTCGGCACCGTTTCTCTAATGTGCATGCGCTACTCATAAACATTCTCCTCTGTCCGAGACAGACTGTCGACAAAATTTGTTGCTAATACGAAATACTTATTTCCTCGAATTTCATTACAGATATATTTCTCATTCAGTTAATTCTGTTCTTAGTTCGCGACAAGGTAAAAATACATAAAACCTCAAATATCTTCATTAAAAGTTGAAAAATATAGAAAAACATAAAACAACAAATCCAGTTAAAACAATTAAAAAAATAATTTTTACAATTCAAATTAGAGTTTCTGCGCAAAAACCAGCAATTCAGCCAGCAGGCAAGAAGAAGGATTTTTCGAAGCACAAAACTAGTTTCCTTTTGATTCCACACGGCAAAACGACACTGAAGGTGCAGAACGATTTAATTCCCTATTCTGCTAAGTTTCAAATGTAAACAAATATGGCTGCTATGGTAAACAAAAATTAGGCTTAGCCGCACTTAGCGAACATTTAAATTGCTGATAATTCTACAACTATTTCACGAAGATTAACTAAAGGCATAAAAACCTTAACCGGAAGATAAGAACAACATAATTTAATTATTTTTAAAGCAAAAAAATACTCAATTTACCAACACATAAGAATAAAAAAACTGAGCTCATGGAGCCGAGTCACAGAGTGGGTATACATATATATCTATATTAACGTACTTTTGTTCCGACCAATTGCTACCAAAAAGGGAGGCGCACAAATACATATTATAGCAGCCCTATATGCAAAACTTCAATGTTCTGTGGCCACTTGTTTTTGAGTTATGCGAGATACATACATACATACGCACGTACAGACGCTACGAAAAAAAAAATTCATTTTGAATCCATTTTAAATCAGTTTTACAATTCGCTTGAGGAAAACGAGACCTTTATTCCGTCCTTACTTACTTAAATATCACGCAAAAAACATCGTTAAATTGCATTCGATAGCGATAAAAATGGGTATTTTCGTTGAAATATGATACCTGGAATTTTTCGTGATTACAATACTTCCCTTATTTTGTACGAGAAAGTAAAACGCCTTCCGGATAAAATTATCAGTAAACTGACTAGCATTCTGAATGCATGTCTGCACAGATCGTACTTTCCTGTTGCATGGATACGTGCATACATTAATCTTCCTATACAAAAACCTGGTAAATCGCAAGATATAGAACTATCAGGTTGCTTTCATCGTTAAGCAAGATACTAGAACAATTTATCTGCAGTCGCATTAAAGATTCTCGCTACCACTAACAAACAACATGTATTCCGTAAAGGACTTTCCACCACCACGCAGCTTATCAACATTTCAGAATTCATAGGAGGTGCCTTGCATTCTTCGATAAAAATTAGTTTTCTCCCTTTCATTCAAATGTCTAACTTGTCTAATAATGTGTTCTCTATGTCAAGCAACGAAACCGCCTTCCTCACCAGTTATGATTTGTTTAAAAATATTGATGTTACTATCCGTCAATCAATTTTTACTAGCAGGAACTCTTTCAGATGCGCAGTCACTGAGTGTAATACAAAAAGAAAGCAAACTTTTCCTTTTCTAGATCATTCACAGGAATTTCATGCACTATTTTTGCTGTGTTAAGCATATTTAGTGTCATTGTAAATGACAAACGATGACAAATTAGCTAGTAGCATCTGCCAAACTTTACTGATGTTATCATTTGTTAACGAGAGGTTCTAATTTCACCATCGACATCTGTCGTTCTTTAGAAGGAATGTTTTTGTATTCAACTCTGCTAACAAAAACATTATCCGCATAGAATTAAAAAGTCTGTGAGCAACAGGTTTGCTACGTTTTGGTTTTGAGGAGTGATATTTCTTAAGCAAGCGCATTACATCCTCTTCATTAAAAATCTAGAAATCATATAATAACGAACCATGGAGACCCAAAATTTATTTAGATTTTGCTCAGAAATTACAAAACCCGAAATTAGAGCTAACAAATAAATCCTGACATTCCATAAAGCTCCCAATCTGTTATGCTTTTGCAATCTAAGATTGTAGAGTCATTAGGTTATTTTGAAGCAGGAGACGGGAAAAATGAGCAATGCCCCCGCCGGGATTCGAACGCTAGACCTCTCGAATACGCGTCGAATAGGCTTCCAATTACACCATGAAGGCATGCGGAAACGAGAGAGAAAATACCTTATATACCCTCCCTTTTAATATACGACTGGGGATGACGGGACCCAATCGCCAGATTTTGGTGGCGACGAATTATCGTCCACCATCTTTTTAGTTTGAACGCCATTGAAGAGATATTAGGGTATTTTGAAGCAGGGAGGAGACAGGCGACGACCTCCACAGGACTCAAACCTGGACCTCTCGAATGAGAGCCGAATGTGCTACCTTTACACCATGAAGGCATGCGGAAAGGCGGGAGAAAATACCTTATAAAATAAACGACTAATTAGATTCAGAGTCTTACTAAAACCATGAACCAAAGCAAACTGTATTATTTAATCCAGCCACCTCTGTAGAACTAGTATCTTTACATAGCATTTCTGTGTGCTGCTCAGATTTACAACTCACATGAATAAAACAGAAACTGCCCTGCATTAACAATGTACTCTATTTACAATAGATACTAATCCGCATACGTTCTAAGCCCATATAGGTTAAGTATCATTTCAGTGAAAATATAAGAATATTTTGCACTCCCTTATAGGTCAGCAGCGGTACACCAGAACGCCCTGGCGCACAATTTGAGAACTAACACTTAAATAATAAACTGCTGTCTTGAATCAGAACTTATTTGTCAATACAAGAAAACAGATGTTATTGTTTTTACTAAGCGAAAAACTCATGTCTGCAAAAATCATATTTTGTCAAAACAGGAAATATTGCCTACACATATGTTATACCAACGAATACTTTCTTATTCATATTTCAGGCTGCAAAAATCAGGTTCCAAGTGCGAGAATGTATTATAATTTGAGAATTGCGATTTCAAGCTTTTCGTTTTAACTTTTTTTTTTTAATTCTTGCTTTATAAATATAATAAAGATTAATAATTTTTTTCCCTTTTCAGTGGTTTCTACCACACAAGAATCAGTCTTCGAGTGTCCAAAGAAAGAGGGCAAATTTGCTCACGAAAGAGATTGCTCTATGTTTTATCACTGTAAAAAAGGGAAGCACACAATCCACAGATGTCCTAAAAACAGACTCTTCGATGAAGAAAGGCGTAGCTGTGAAGACGAGGAACGTGTATCATGTGGACACAGGATACATCCAGACAGTATGTGTTAATACACTTTGCTGTTTAAATCCTTATTCTAATTTAATTTTTAACTGGTTAAGCGCTGCGTTGGTCATCACTGACTGATAGTAGACTTTTCATTCAGGACGCTTTTCTTAAATGAATGCATTAAATGAAAAAATAACGGTGTTAAGTTAGAATACACTGCCACCTATTATATACAGAGAGAAACTCTCACTTGACCACCTGGATTCGGCTAAGCAACACGTCAGAGCATGTACTAGTAATTACTGCTAATAAAATAGTTAGTTCTCTATTTAATATAGTTCGCTCATTAGTTTAGAATTATACTACAAACGGTATGAATGCAATAAATTAGCAAAAAATACTGAACTAAGTAATAAAATTAATGCGAAAAATATTCGTATGAGTACATGAAACAGATAAATAGAGATTCTAAAATTACAGATGAAACTTCATTCTAAAAATACAGGATATATCAAGTTGACTATTAAAGTTAATTGACCCTAAACGCTAAACATTGGTAACATCGAAAACCTTAAAAATATGTGAGAAATAAATGCACATATTTTATGCAGCTGATATTAAACTATACCGTTAAAACTACGGAAAAGAAACTTGTGCGTAAAATCAAATAAATTACATATGTAGTCAGTTGCAGAGAGAAAATATAAATAAAACAGAAATTATAAGGAAATTTATTATAAAGGTTGAAAATGTGAAAAGTTAATAAAAGCACATCTAAATAAAGTAAAATAGTATACTTAGTAACGGTAAGAGTATTAGAGCGTAAGAAATATGTAAACAAATGTAAGGATTATTCAATAAATTGTATATGAATAAACGGTCATAAAATAAATATCTAATTTAAAAACCTAGTATGTTTAAGAAATTTAAACATGTGAAAAAAATCATGTAATATTAAATGAAACAATAAAGCATTATTGTGATAAAAATACGAGTAAAAATGGTAAGAAAATGTTACGAAAGAGAGAGTGCGCAGAATAATTAAAGATATTAGGAATATAAAAGGAGTTAAAATTACATCTAATATTAAATAAATTAATTATCTCGTTAGAAAATAGAGGAAATAAATTAAAATTAAGAATATGTTGAAAAGTACTAAAAAGGTAAGCAATCAAAAAATTAAAAGTAATGTTTAAAATTAAATAGAGTCACGTATATCGTTAGCATAATAAAAAATTAAAAATTAGAGTACGTTTAAAATTATGAAGGTTAAAATGTACAAAATTATATCTAAAGTTAAATAATATAATAAATTAAAATGCGTATCTGAAAAATTACTCTCTTAAAATATAACAAATAAATCAAAATTCAGAGTATGTTGAAGAATACAAACGTTAAAAGGTACAAAAGATGAAAAATTACACCTAAAATTAATAATATAAAACGATAAGCGGGTATTTGAGAATTAAGCTTGTAATATGGAAATGAGTTAAAAATTAGAACTTAAAAGGTATGAAAAAATTGGTAAATTAAAAAAAAAAAATGTTGAACAAATTTAATAAAACCAGAAAGCTAAAATCAATATAAGAAAAAAAAAAAAAAAAAAAAAAAAAAAAAAAAAATAAAAAAAAGAAAAAAAAAAAAAAAAAAAAAAAAAAAAAAAAAAAAAAAAAAAAACAAAAATTTATATTTAAATTTGAGGCCTTTGCGAATCAATAATTAAATTCGGACATATGAAGCGTTAAGGGTACATATGAAGTGCCAATTTGCAAACATAATAGGAATGTGAAGAAAAATACAAAGGTTAAGATTTCTAAAATTTAAGGCAGTTACCGCTGGAAAATTAATAAAAGATTATCTCTTATCAAAAACTCTTTCTTACCTAGGTCATTCACCCTTATCAGATAACAGACTGCATATTGTACCCCGCAATCCCTGAGCATTTTCACTTGCGGGATTGCTCCATGCTTCGCCTCCTGTTGTATTAAACCCGTCGTTTCATATTACTATCATTTTTCCATTTCTTTTTATGCTTAATTTTAGAATGTGTCTTTAAGTCATTATAAAATTATTTTTGTTGTATCTGAAAGCATAGAAATGCCTGAAAATAAGAGACTTTCAGAAAAATGCAGACTGCCGTACTTGACAGTGTATAAAGACACACTTTTTCCTTTGAAAATAGGTCTGAAAAGCGGAGTGCGTCTTATATACGTAGATACTCAGTTTTTGATTACCTTGATCTCTAGAAATTTTCTCTATTCGGATTTATGCGGTTGTTTTTCTTGTTTCCTTGCGGAGTGCGGGAATATTACAGTTACGTAAAGTTCAGTGAATGCGCATGCGCTGTCATCGACAATCACAGCTGGGTTCGTTTAAATTTTCCAGGTTTTGTGAACTATGTTTGAGTGTGTGATTTTTACTATTCATTGTTCTTAAATTGGTTGGCCAGTTATGGCTCAAAAACAACGTCGGTATTACTATAACATAGCATACAAGCTATGTGTGATTGCGTATGCTAAAGAACATAGAAGCATTTCGCATTTGAGAGGCTGCAGAGAGGCATTTCGGGCCATCCCCAGCTGAGAAAATGATAAGAACTTGGTGGCATCAGGAAGAGGATCTAAAAAAGCAACTCACAGTAAACATAACCTACGAAGGGGAACTGCATAATGGCCTGAACTTGAGGCACAGCTGAATACTTGTATTTTAGACCACAGAAAAGAGGAACCTTTTTGTCTACAAAAATGATTATTCATCAAGCGAAAGCGATAGCGACTGATAGAGAGATTGCCGATTTTACTGCATCAACATCATGGTGTTCAAGATTCATGAAGAGGAACCAGCGATCTATGCGGACTAAAACAAGAATATCGCATAAAATGCCAGGCAAATATGACGAAAAACTTATTGAATTTCATCGATTCGTCATTAATGCTCGACAGCGAGAAAATTTTGAACTTTCGTCAATAGGAAAATGGACGCAGTTCCTCTGACTTTTAATGTGCTCTCAAATGAAACTGTACATTCCGAAGGTACAGATCGTGTTACTGTTCAAACTTCAACGCACGAAAAAACTCACTGCACGGTTGTTTTATCCTGCCGTTATGATAGGATGAAATTGCCCCCACTATTGATTTCTAAAAGGAAGACATTACCCAAAGAAAAATTACCTAAACTAGTGTTTATACATGTTCATGCAAAAGGCTGGATGGATGGAGGAGGAATGAAGTTATGGATAGATAAAATTTGGTCGAGGTGCCCTGGTGGACTGTTGAAGAAACCTGCCCTACTAGTATTTGATCAGTTTCGTTCTCACAGAGGAGAAGATATTAAAAATAAACTCAAAGAACTGAAAACTCGGTTAGCTATAACTCCTTTAGATATCTGCATTAATAAACCATTTAAGGGATTTATGAAGGAGAAGTGGAACAGTAAGATGCAGTCTTCAAATTTTGAGGTTACACCATCAGGAAGAAGGAAGAGGCTAGCATTTCGCAAGTTTGTTAATCGGTCAAAGCTTCATGGGATGCTGTGAAAACAGAGACAGTGGTTAAATCGTTTGAAGAAGTGTGTCCTTAGTAATGCACTGGATGGTACAGAGGGCAATTTGTTGTATGAGGTGTGTGTGTGTGTGTGTGATTACGGCAAAGCCTCGAGGGCTATCTGCCTAAGGGGAGGGATGCCTTCGTGGAGGACTTTCTAAGGGAAACTGGCTCGTATACACGTTACACATGGGGAAAACCACGAAAACGCCCATGCAGCCAGCCCGTTCGCGGGATTCGAATGTTGTATGAGGACTCAGATGATGATTTAGAAGAGGTTTCAATTGACTCGTCATTTAGCTCTGGAAATGAGCGTCTGGGTTTTGACGAAGAAGATTAAAAGGTGTTTCCCAGATCGATGGGGTATTTGCAGAAAGTATTACTTTGAATTTGTATTACTTAATATTTAAAATATTGTAAATTCATTATAACGATCAGTAATAAAGTTTTATCTTTCAAAATGTGTATAAAAAATGGGTGGGTCTTATATTCTGGTGCGTCTTATACGTCGGCAAATACGGTAATTATTATTAAAAAGAGAGAGTAAAAACAAGTACATTAAAAATAGATCAATATCCAGCAACTGTTTAGAACTAATTAATAAAGGTATTTTATCGCTTTGCTAGATAAGAATATTTTATCAGTTGATTTGCTGAAATATTACAGAGACAAATAATTCTAGAATTATTACTACTTCAGAGAATACACATTGCATGTTTATGAATAGATGTAATCTCGCCTTGATGAAAAAATATGAATGTATAATTTCATTCTGATCGTGTAAGAAACATAATTCATACAGAATACATTTTAATACTTAATCATGTTATCGTAAAAATTTTTCATCTTACTTTCTTGTTGTATATTAGATAGATAATATTAGTATATTCTTTTATTTTAAATGAGAGTATTTTGCAATAAGTTCGATTGTTTCACGTCATAAAATGTATTTTTCATTTGTAGCGATTGCAAAATTCACGGAAGCAGAATAGTGACCTTACTTCGAACGTATATGAACGCTTGAAATGCTAAACAATGAAAATATGACCTTTGGAAACCCAAAAATTAAATGTACAACTAATATGTGTAAGAAAAATTGATTTAGAATAAATAGCACGTTTCAATTACATTACTTAGAAAATCGATCAAATAATCTTACTTTATTTTGTCATTAGAGGAGGAATAAAATTTGGTAACATATTTACCAAAATTTATTCCCCATATTGGAGAATATATTGCAGGACATATATAGCGTGACTATAATATGTTGGAGAATTTTTATTCTGCTAGCCTATGTTTTTGTCCAAACAAATTTATTAAACAATATATTTAATGTCAGAAATGAGCAAGAAAAGATTATAAGAAAATATCTCGTTATCTATCGTGTATACTATCTAGTTTAAATGCTAATGGGCGGATCGAATCCGGGCGAGGAAATAGCTAATTTTCGTTTTAGTACTCCAAAAAAGTAAGAGTTTTTACAATGCTAGATTATTATGATTCATGTCAGCAAGACACACAGTTTCGAATATTTTTTCCACAATATTTTTACGCATCAATACATAAATACGTAGCATGCATTTTATGTTATCTTCACCAATTCTCTCGTTTTTAATTTCTTATCTAATCAACTGATTGTTATAAAACATTTAAGATCGGGGATTTTCCCTTTCGCTATCAAGAAAGTCCATTTTAGAACGTTGAAATCTGTTAATGAACTCTTCCAAGGTTTATGGGATTTAAGACCTATCAAAGGGTAATGTGCACTAAACTGTAATACTCGCTAAATGAGTTTTGACCTATTTACATTGCTTTAGAGAAATTCCAAAGAAATAGTGTTTATGATGCTATTAATTACACGTACAAATGATTCCTTTATTTAATTCTGTGTGCAAAATAGAAATAGCATGATGTCAGTTTTAATATAAAAATTCGATATTTCGTCTCCAGCATTTCCACCGTCACATAAAATGCAAAAGACAAATGTAACGCAATAGTTTGAGCCCTTTAAAATCAGAAGTGCATGACTTGTATATCTAATGGTCATCTAATCTGATAGCATTATAACGTTACATTGGTAACTGAACACACTCCTTTCGTTTTAGTGGATCCCGATGAGGTACAGGATGAGATCATCGATCCTAATCCTAGCTTTCGCTGCAAAAGCAATCATGGGAGATTTACTCACGATGAGTATTGCTATTGGTACTATCACTGCCACGACAAGAAAGCTTCTATCCGCCAGTGTAGAAAAGGAAAGTATTATGACACCAGGAGGAAGAAGTGCTACGATGCCAAAGATGTCTCATGTGAAGGACGACGAAAGCCAGATGGTAATAATAAAGAACTTGTTTAAACTGAAAACTTATTATAACCTAATATCATTAACAATGTCGCAGTTAACTTCCTTTATTATATTTTAAAAACATTTAAGTCCTTAGAGGAGGGCTAAAATCGTTTTTCTTCATAGGCTAAAGTTGCTTGGGCAATATTTGATGAAAATTCAGATTTGATTTCATGCTTATCTAGATTAATACTGCCCTAATAAAAAATAAAATATTGTATTTTTGTGACTGATTCAACTACATTGTAGGTGTTTGATTCAATTATTTTGCTTTCTACAAATAAAGGCAAAATTAATTGTTTAAAATGCACATCGTGCAATGGAAATTTATCAAATATTGCGACTTTTAGTTCGACTCTGAGAATAAAACCAGTACACTTGGTAAAACGTTTTTATATTACTGAACTAAAGATTGTTACGAAATGTCAAGGCGCGGTGAGATGGCTTCCCCGCAAAGCAGTTTTAGGGTTGCCATAAAATGGCAAGGGAAGGCAGGGTTGTCACATTTGGAAAGAAATCGCCCATTTGGCGACCTAATTGGCGATATACCATGGACGGTTAGAGAACATTCTGGAACGAATTCTTACCGGTTTAACCCAAAATGTTCTCGAACACAAGCCCAAAGCTGTATAAACCATGCCGGTCCGCAGTCAGTTAGTGTGTCTCTCATCGAGAGTGAGTGTGTCTTGTCTAGGGAGTCAATCCCTGCGGAGTCGATCGAGTTGACAGCCGGGCAGCGAGTGCTGAGTGGGTCGTCGAGTGCACCGAAGGAGTGTGTTAGCGTATCGCAGTTAGTGCATCGAGAGAGCGTGTTGAGCTCTGGGAACGACTGAACCGAAGAGTCGGGAGCTGTGCTCGTGTGTCGTCGAGTGCATCGCGGGTTGTAGCGCGGAGAGTCTCGAGAGTACGTGGAGTTCCGAGAACGACCAAGCAGAGTCGGGAGCTGTACTCCGGAAAGCAGAGTCGGGGTGCTTTGCAGGAAGCTTGTCTCCACCGTTATTGCCTGACAGTGTGAAGGCTGTGTCGCTGATTGTTCCAGCGTGTTTATAGTAGTTCATAAACGAGTAAAACGTGTTTGGGAGCTGTCCTGACAATACTGACTAATAAAGTGTGTTTCGATACTTCATCAAGTGTCGTCGTTTATTCACTCCAAATCTACGAACCCCGTACGAACGTGAAGAAAGAAAATAACGTAACAACTGGTGTCCGAAGAAAAAAAAAGTAACAATATTATCATCTATCTTCTTCTTCTTTTTTCACATACAAGTAATATTTTTTCCTTTCACAAATGACAAGTATATTTAAGCAGATATTTGTAAATTATTTAACTCCAGGTATACATAGTTATTACTCATCCTGTTACAGTAGTTATTCTAATTCACGGTGAATGTAAAGTTTTGGAAACAAATGCTCAAACGTCCTTTTTTCGTAAAAGCGTTTTCGCACTTTTTTTTTAAATTGATGATGATAATTTTCTTGCCAGTTACCAATCTGGCATAAATTTATAGTCTGTTTTGCTGTTAATGTTTGCTATTTCAGCAGTGTCTGACAGAAAAGAATCTGGTAACAATAAGCCAGAAAACGTGTTCTTTTTAAATATTGAAGATCGATTTCATTCTAAGATGCAGGTAGATATCGCAAATTCAGTCTGAAATTTATGCTTACATCATTGGGAATGTTCAGGGTATATCTTTAGGTAAATTATATAAATATTATATAAAGGTAAATGGCATCAAACTTCAGTAAATGCAACATTGAAACTGCCAACAACCTGCTGCAAAGTTTCAGTGTTTCCATTACAGTTGCCAATAACGTGATGCAATAGCTCAGGGTTTTCCCTGTACCTGACAATAACGTTACGCAATAGCCCATTGCAGCTGCCAATAATGTATAACAATAGCTAAGTTCTTTCATTCTTCTGTCCATTTCCAGGGCATTATATCCTTTGTTTGTCGCAGTCCGAAAACGACAGTGGTTAAAATGTTTTTCATGCAGACTTAAGGGGGAAAACCAAAAGGTTACTGAAACATCTGAAGAAAGACACCATGGGTATATGTTATTGGTTACAGCCGAAAACATAGCGGAGGAAAACCTCGCAGAGAAAAAGAACGCAAGGCGAAAACGTCGTGTTTCAAAACATCGTGGGAAAAAAGAAAGCAAAGAGAAAACATCGCAGTTCTAAAACATTGTGGGAAAAAAGAAAGCAAAGAGAAAACATCGCAGTTCTAAAACATCGTGGTACAAAATATCGTGATAGAAAATTAAGCGGTTCAAAAACTTCGCAGTTTAAAAACATCGTCGTCGAAACTATCGCGATAAGAAATAAAGTACCTACAAATCATCGCATGACGATAACATCGCACACAAGCGTTTTTCCAATTCCATGCTGACATATTATGTAACTGACTTTCGTTATAACTAACAAGTAGACATCCAAAATATTGATTGCACGCTATATATGAAAATGTTAACGTCACTTTAAGAATAAATGGAAACAAAACAATACTCGTAATTTTCACTAAAACAATATCAAATTAACAAATGTTAAAGAAAATAATTTGATAATTAACTAAGCACTTTTTAGAGATAAACTCATGCAGTTATTTATCTTCCTTTTTCTAAGTATTTTTAGACTGTATTTTTCATAAAAATGTATCAGTAAAATGTTATAAAAAGGGTTAATTTACTAATGAAATTTGCTAATTAACTAAGTAAATTTAAAATTATGGTAAGTTCTATAAGCAGCATTTATTTTCTTCTCCTTTTCGATTTTTTAATGCTTAAGTTTCCTTCTCAATTTTCAGCAACATTTTATTAGTTCATTCAAAAATATGAAATATAGAAGTAAAATAATCCCTTTTTCATTATTGTGCTCTACAATCTTTATACGAACATGCATTTACAACTTTTAAAACCTGAAAACGCATGTGTGCGATGTTATCGTGATGCGATGATTGTAGGTACTTTATTTTTTACCACGATTATTTGTAAACTGTGAAACTTTTGAACCGATTTATTTTCGACCACGGTGTTTTAGAACAGCGATGTTTTCTCTTTGCTTTCTTTTCTCCCACGAAGTTTTGCTCCACGATGTTTTTGCCTTGTGTTATTTTCTCCGCGATGTTTTCGGCGAACACCATTTCATTTAATTAATGATACTGAATTTTTGGAAATGGACTGAGAATGGCCTTATCTAAAGCAGTTCTTAATATCCGTTGATTACGATGCCAGGCACAATGTGTGTTCAAGTTCTGCAAAGCAGAATAATAAATTGCTAGCCGAAGCTTAGAGCAAGGCCGACTGATGGCCCCAAAAATTTAATTACTTCTTCGCATTTAAAAGTTCCCTATACCTCGTATCTTCAAGATAAGACATTCAAAACAAAACATGGCATTAAATATATTTCTAAGAATGAAATCGATAGCAAATGTTCGCTTTCGGATGCCTAATTTTGTAAATCTCCTGAAAGTGCACCAAATTTTAAGTAAGAACATTATTAATTTTTTTTCAAAATTACTCTATATTTACAACATTGCTAATTTCGCTTCGACAATCGTATGAGTTAACAGTGTTGTAATGTTTAAACTTTGAATTACTCATTATATCGAAGGTAAAATTTATCAGCGTTCCCTTTTCCCCAGCATTACAACAATGCTACAGTTATTATTATTTTTCTTCTTGCATTTTCCATATTATAATAATTCCTAAACTTCACTTTGTGTTACATAATTTAGAAAAGGCGCAGTATAACAAAACATTCTATTTTTCAGACATGGACGTGACAACGGAGTTTATTACAATTGAAGGTAAATAAATTTTCTAATTCCCAAATGTTAGCACTAATGTGCCACGAAAAGTTATGTTGTCAGTTAATAAAATCGATATATAAATTACGCTGATATTAATTTGTGGGGATATGTACATTCTGTGTTATTTTTTTAAAACAGTATCTACAACAGAGACACCGGAATTTCAATGCCCAAGAAAAGAGGGAAAATTTGCTCATGAAAGAGACTGCGGAAAATTCTACGACTGTAAGCGTGGAGAGTACAAAATTCACAAATGTCCTAAAAATAAACTTTTCGACGAGGAAAGACGCAGTTGCGAGGACGATGATCATGTTTCATGTGGACAAAGAATTCATCCAGATAGTTAGTATTCTTATTTACATTTATTTACAGATATATAAATGTCCGTGCCGTGATTATTAGCCACTTAACTTAGAAAGTCCTCCATGAAGGCAGCAGCCATCACCTCTTGATAACCCTCGTGGGATTTGCCATATTGAAGTAGCTTATTCTAACCTAAATTCACATACTAGAAACTCCTGAATAATTTATGTCTTCTTATCCGCTATAGTTTTTTTCCTAAAATTATTAGAAACGTTTTAGCAGAATTTTCTTCCTCCTGAAAAAGGGGGATCCGTTTTTGATCGCCCTCGATGTACATTAACCTTCATTAAAAATTTAAGGTTACATTTTTAACTAATTTTTAACTTCTCATATGTTACGAATAATTTAAATATAACACAACGCAGTATGCAAATAATTATGTTAATAAATTACGGTTTTATAAGATTATGTCTAAGCTCACTGTGGCTTTATCTGCTTAGGTGAGATGCCTTTCAACATCACTTTCTAAGGAAGCGTAGCTCCTGCGCACGGTACATATGGGAAAACCATGTTAATATGCATTCAGCAGTCCTCTTCGTCGTGATATGAACTCAGGTCTAACTACCGGTGTTTATCGATCTCATCTGCTTGGCCAATAATGGACTAATTGATCAGTACAATATGTAAATCAAAATTATAACTTAAATTAGATATAGCATCTTAATTCTTCATCTTAATATGGGCATTTTCTTATCTGTTTTAAAAATTCCAATTCATTTATAACTTTTTTTGTACTGCGTCTAGATTAATTCATATGAGATGACGTAGCTAATTCAGAATTCAAAATTTCCTGAACCGAAACCTTTCTCTTAATAAGCTGCCATATTGGAAAACAGCGCTCTTTCTTTCCCGTCTTCGGCCTACCTGGAGTGCCCCTATTCTGCTCGCTTCTTATTGAAAGCAATGTCAAAAATGTAAGTATTCTGGAACAAGTACGATTAATGTGCGAAGTATCTGTGGCCACAAATATCTATTGAAAAAAAATTAATATTTAATCTGCCTCGGCTGCCCGGTTTGCTGTTTATTATGGATCAATATATACACTCATCAATTTTTCTACATCATTACACACATTAATATGTACACTGTAGAGCCAAAACATTGTGACTACCTACTCAAAAATGCGTTACCCGATCTTTGGTCTGCAGAACAGCTGGAGCTCGCTTTGACATGAATACCACACATTCTTGGTAGATTACTGGAGACATGTGTACCAAATGGTGGTGTTTGAACTCTGAGCTGCGACTCCATGACATCCTAACTGAGCTCTATCGAGATAAGTTCCGGCGAGTTAGTTGGCCAGGACAATTATTGAAATTCATCCTCATGCTCCTCTAACCACTCCAATGCAATTCGAGTCTTGTGACATAGGGCGCTGTCTTGCTTGAAGATTCCATTTCCAGTTGAGAAGACAGACGCCATGCAAAGGTGAAACTGATCAGCAATAATGTTCAGATAGTCCGCAGCAGTTCTACCATAAATAAGGGTCCCAAAGTCGCCCATGAGAACGTCCCCCAAAGCATGATATCGCTACCACCAGCCTGTGTATAACCTGCTCTACAAGGGGGAGCAACTATTTGCCTGAAAGACGGCGTACCCTAACATGGCCATCGATATGATGAAGGAGGAATTCCATCATCATACATCCAACCAGGCTACTATCTTCCACTTATCCATAGTAGGCGTAATTGACAATGACTCTTAGCAAACAAAGGCACACGAGTGGGACATCTGCTGCACAGTCCCATATTCATCAACGCCTGCTAAACCGTGTATTTCGCACCACCTGCACTTGGACCTGCATTGTATTGGGCTGTCAGCTGAGCCGCTGTCTGGCACCGATTTTGCTGTACGAACAGGGAGAATCTCCAACGTACTTTGATGACGCGTGGACGTCAGACACCCTGCATCTACTGATGGTTTCATCGTCATTTAATCAGTTTGCATACATACTAACAACGGTAGATCGTGAACAACATACCAGTTGTGCATTTTCGGATAGTGAGTCTGCAGCCATTACAATTTGCCCTCTTTCAAAATAGCTAAGGTCAGCAACCTTTCCCATCACTCGCAAAAGTAAACGCAAGAATGATTCTCTACATTCTCCAGTAGCAGTTAAATACCATTCTTACTTAATAATGTGATCTTTACGTCATTCAGACGAGTTCATTGAAAAATGTGCGGATTGTCATGATGTTTTGGTTCGTCAGTATGTGTGTATATATATATATTGAGAGAGAGATTCATAGATAGTAATAATTTTTTTATCATTTTTGTGCTTTAATATACTTTTAATATATTTTCGATACTGAAATCAAATTTTGATTCAATTCAGAGAAGTCTGGATTTTCCTGAAATTTTGTGCACATAAATATTTGCGTTGAAAATACAGTGTTTTACAGAAACATTTTTCAAATTGGTGTGCATTTTTTTTTAATGTAGAAGTGATTTTTTACAGACTGCTCATTTGCTCATTGTTTAGTGTTGAAACATTAATATTCTGAAGGTTCAAAGACTTAACGGGGAGGAGCAGCTAAAATTGGAGTATCTGTTAGCGAAGATCCGCCTGTGTTTACTCACACAACAGGAACTCTAAAATGAAAAGGAAAAAAAATCTTCATGTCTTATTGGTTGCACATGCAGATGATTCGTATTGTAGTTTTGACAAGAAAGTGTAAATAACGGCATTTCCATTTAAATGTTCGTGATCTCATCTTCAATGCTGCAACTTCACTTCTTGTAACAACAAATTTCAATTCTTGCCCAGAATGTAAATAACTGAGAATGTAATGCAGTAATTTGAGTTTTTTAGATCAGAAGTTCACTATTAAGGTTCAAAAGTGACATTCTACAATAAAACATCATTACCTCGATACACTGATAACTAAACGTAAGTGTTATTAACTCCTAGTTTCTTTCCAGTGGATCCTGATGAACCGCAGGATGAGATCATTGACCCTATTCCTAACTTCCGCTGCAAACACAATCACGGAAGGTTTACTCACGAAGAATATTGCCATTGGTATTACCACTGCCATGATAATAAAGCTTCTATTCGCCAGTGTAAAAATGGGAAGTATTATAACAGCAAACGAAAGAAATGCTACGATCCCAAAGATGTCTCATGTGAAGGACGACGAAAGCCAGATGGTAATAATTTAGAACTTTTTTAACCTGCTATTAAAATCTGATATCACTAACAATGTCGCAATTAGTTATAACTTCCTTCATTATATTTTTAAAAACATTTTAGTCCTTGGATAAGAATTAAAGCCTTCTTTCTTAACAGTTTAACGTTGCTTGTGCAATATTTGATGAGAATCCAGATCTGATTTCATTTTTGTCTAGAATATGAGTGCCCTGATAGAAAATAAAATATTGTACTTTTGTGATTGATTCAATTGTATTGTAGGTGTTTCCTTCAATTATTTTGCGTTCTACAAATAAAGTTAATTAAGGCAATATTAATTCTTTAAATTGCATAACGTCCATTGTAAATTTATCTCTACAAATAAAGTTAATTAAGGCAATATTAATTCTTTAAATTGCATAAAGTCTATTGTAAATTTATCAATACTGAGAATATTAATATAGAAGTCCAACAACAAAAATCGTTTAGCTCATATAGAGTAAAAACGATACTTTTAGTAAAACGTTTTTTCCTTACTGAACTGAAAATTATCATCTTCATCTTGCTCTTTGTTCGCATACGAGTATTATTTTTATTCTTTCAGAAATTATAGGTATATCTGATCATATCTTTGTTAACTATTTAAGTGCAACCATACATAGAAATGATATATAATGTACAGTCATTGGCATAAAGTGATAATCTGCTTCGCAATTAATAACCGCAATTGCAGCAGTTTTTGATAGAAAGAACTCTGCCATCCGCAAGTCAACAATCTCGCTCTTTTGGAATAGTCGTCCTCTGCACATTTCATTCTAAGATGCAGTCAAACATCGCAAATTCCGTCTGAAATTTATGCTCACGTCATTGGGAATGTCGTAGGTACATCTTCATGTGAATGGCATCGAAAATGCAGTAAATGCAATATTGAAACCGCAACCAACCTGATGCAACAGCTTAATGTTCCCGTTAGAACTGCCAATAACGTGATGCAATAGAGTGTCTCACAAAAATGATCGGGCACACCAATATTTTTACTTTTTGAAGTAATAGGAGAAAACCTTTGCAGTAAACTAATAAAAAATATTTTCCCTTTGAATGCATATTTTCTTAACTATCTCTTTGTACTGAAGAAATTTGGAAAAACGAAATGGTAAATTTAAAAAAAAAATAGCGTTTTAGACAAAAATGAAAGAAAAAGATACCACGAAATTAATCGGACATTTTCATAATTTCTAATTAAAATCATTTGCAATAAATAGAAAACTTAATTTTGTGGAATCAATTTGCATAAAGAAGCCCGGCAAAACTTTAAAAAATTGCTTGCTTTTATAATTCGAATTTTCCTTTTAGAAAACATTCGTTATTTTAATGTTTTCTTGCAATGGCTCGGTCACAAAAGGAAACATCGTTAAAAACCAGAAGATTAGTTATTGATCTGTATCAAAAGAAAGGGAAACCTATTAGAAAAATTGCCTATTTAAAAATTTTATTTAAGTGATTCTACAGTTTTTGATATAATTAAGCGTTAAAAGATACAGAATCGTATTCAAAACAAAAGAAAACCTGAAAGACCATCTAAGTTATCTCATGGAATGAAACGCTTTATTCTAAGGAATATTAAAAAGAATCCAAGACTGAGTACTTCTTAAACTTGTTGAGGAACTTCGTGAATTATATGGAATATGTGTAAGTCCGAAAAAAAGTCGAAAACTTCGCCTCGCTTTCGCAAAATCGATGAAACAAAAGACACCCGACTACTGGAAAAAAAGTGTTGTTTGCTGATGAAAGCAAATGTAACATCTTTCGGCCCAGACGGACGAATGTTGGTGTGGAGAAAACCAAGAGACAAGTTTTGGAAGCAAAACCTAGTACCAAGTGTTAAACATGCCGGAGGAGGAGTTATGTATTGGCATCTATGGCACATTCCAGTCTTGGTAATATAAGGTCTTGGTAGATGGTTGTACAGATGGTATAATGGATCAGTATAAATACCTTGACATTTACAATTATTAAGTATAATTACCTTGACATCTTCAAGTGAAAATTGGCATCGTCAGCACAAAAGCTTAATATACAAATTAGTTTTAAATTCCACTAGGACAATGATCCAAAGCATACTGCGCACAGTGTCAGACTCTGCCTGTTATGCAAGTGTCCAGAAGTAATTAAGGCGCCACCCGAATCGCCAGATCTTAAGCTTATTGACCACATTTGGTAGGAACTAAAATCGAAAATTCGAAAACAGAGCATGTCTTCGCGGTAGCAACTGAAAACAGTGATTCAAGAGGAGTGGCATAAAATAAGTCCAGAAATAACAAGAAAAAACTTGTGGAGTCAATACCCAAAAGATTAAATGAAGTGAACAAGTGTAAAGATTATCCTACAAAATATTAAGTAGCAAAAGCAATGTAAGTTTTGGTCATTTTTAGCTGTTACTAAAAGCGTCCGATTATTTTTGTGAGAATATTTTTCCCTCATTAAACAAACGATATTCATTTTTGATTTTAATTTTCATCTTTTCGAAAATGTAGTTAGTATAAAAAATGTTGAACTTACATATAATTAAAATAAAAGCCTTTCTTTTTGTTTTAATTTATTTTAGTTTTTATGTGCATTAAAGAATACAAAAAATCAAAGTGCCCGATCACTTTTGTGAGCCACTGTAACTCAATGTTTCCATTATAATAGTAAATAACAGGATGCATCGCAACTGCCAATGTGTGGCAATAGCTCAGCGCATTCATCCTTCTGTCCATTTCCAATTATATTACACTCATGTCCATAAATTAAGGAAAATGCAATATCAGGCTAAGGAAGAGTTAGAAACAAAACAAATTTGACTTATTTGTAAAGCTTATTTATTAAACAAAAAGTAAAGAGCAAAAAAAAATATGCTATATGTTTGATATTATTAAAAAAAATAACGATTTTTTTCTCCCAGGAGCAAATTACAAAAAAAAAAAACCTATTTACAAAAAACCAATATTACATGGTTGGTATGATTGTTAATACATTGTATGTCTCCCAGATGATGCAATACAGTCCGTACAACGCCTAGGCAGGCTGAGTATCAAATTATCGATCTGATCTTGGGGGATATTTCACCACTCAAAAAGCAATGCTTTCCAAAGTTCCGGTAGACATGTAGGAGGAGGTTGACTGGCTGCAACTCGTTGTCCAAGCATGTTCCACCCATGCTTTACTGGATTCAAGTCCGGTGAGAATGCTGGCCAGTCCGTACGGGTGATATCTTCCGATTGAAGGCATTCGCTTACGATGTTTGCACGGTGAGGACGGGCGTTGTCATCCATAAAAACAAATTGTGCGCCCATGGCGTCCCGAAACAAACGTACATGTTGTTCCAGATAGATTTGGCTTGTCATGGTTCCAATTTGAACGTGCAGGTCAGTTCTGGAACCCAGAATAATTCCACCCCAAACAAGCACTACTGCACCACCGTAACGGTGTCGTTCAATGATGTTTTCTTGGTGGTAACGGGTACCTGGAGCTCTCCATATGAAAGTTCGGCGAGAATCAGACCGCAAGCTAAACCTGGACTCGTCGCAAAATATCACACAAGCACACTGTTGCGGTGTCCACAATGCATGCTCTCTACTCCAGGCAGTAAGTGGAACGCATCTGACAGGTCCACGAGCATATAGACCAATCTGCCCTAAGCGTCTGTACACGGTCTGCCTTGAAATTGTCGTAACAGTGACTGAAGACAGCTGACGAGACAGGTCTGAGGCTGTGCTCCGCCTGTTTCTTTTGGCAGTAACTCCCAAATACCGGTCCTCATTCGGCGTTGTAATTTGGTGCGACCTGTGCTGTAACGTCTGCTCACCATCATCTTGGAATCGTTTCCAAAGCCTGGAAATGACACTCTGGGCAATTCCAAGTTCGTCTGATACTTCCAGTTGGGTACGCCCACATTCCAGACGGCCGATAATTCTACCACGTAAAAAATCCTCCAAATGCGTCTTTTGTGTCATAACTATTCGGTTGTTACACTGAAATTCTTATAAAGCGCCTGCGAACAATTTTACTTCTTTGCCTGTATTCCTTATATATATCACTCTCTTACACTCTCGTCATTGTGACGTACCATCGGTGTCATCTGGTTACTTCCTGAAATTTGCGTATGTTTCTTGAAGATATGTGTAGTGATTTTACAGGTGATATATTAATTTTAGAGTTCGATTTCCGCGTGACTCCGAATTATCCTTAATTTATGGACATGAGTGTATTTGATGCAATCTAAACACAGCAGTGGTTAAATTGTTTTTGATGCTAACTTCAGTCAGAGAACCAAAAGGTTACTGAATTGTCTAAAGAAGGGCTCCATGGATATATTCCATTTAACGATGATCAATTTTTAGAACTGCGGAATGGATTTAGGCCGACGTATCATTTCTAGTAAAATAGGGACTGTAAATGTGAAAAATGAAGATTAAAATATTCGTTGACTGCAATGCAAGCACAGTGCAAAGGAGCAAGGAGAATGCAAAGGAGAATAATAAATTGCAAGCCGAAGCTTAGAAGAAGGACGATACGAAGTGGTAGATACGAAAGTTAATTATTTGGTTAGCATTTGAAAGTTATCTATACCTCGTTTCTAGAAATTATCACATTTAAAAAAAGTCTCTGGCGTGAAATCTATTTCTAAGGCTGAGATCGATGGCCCATTTTCGTTTTTTTTTGGAGGGGTTATTTTGCAAATCACCTAATGGTATACACCTAATAAAAACAGCGCATTTTTAATTTTTTTTTCAAAAATTTTTTTATATTTACGACAATGCTAATTTCTATTCCACATTCGTATTGGGTAACTGTTGTAATGTTTAAACTTTGAATTGCTCAACATATCACAGGTAAAATTTACTAGCATTTCCTTTTCCACTACATTGCAATCATGTTACATGCATTATTTTTATTTTGCATAATAATTTCTAAACTTCTCTTTGTGTCATATAATTTAGAAAAAATATAGTATAAAAAAAAGTCCTTTTTTTTTCAGACGTGGATATGACAACGGAGTTTATTACGACTGAAGGTAAATTCAATTTTCCAATTTCCAAATGTAATCATTAATGTGACACACAAAGTTATATTGCCAATCATAGAATCAATGTATAAATTATGCTGATTTTAGTTCTTTTTAATACATTCCGTGTTATTTTTTCAAAACAGTATCTACAACAGACACACCGGAATTTCAGTGCCCTAGAAAAGAGGGGAAATTTGCTCATGAAAGAGACTGCGGAAAATTCTATGACTGTAAGCGTGGAGAATACAAAATTCACAAATGTCCTAAAAATAAACTTTTCGACGAGGAAAGACGCAGTTGCGAGGACGATGATCATGTTTCATGTGGAAAAAGAATTCATCCAGATAGTCAGTATTCTTATTTACATATTTTTACAGATATATAAATGTCCGTGTCGTGAATACTATTCCTTTTACCTTAGAAAGTCCTATATGAAGACAACCTTCCTCGCTTAGCTAAATAGCCCTCGTGGGATTTGCCATATCTAAGTAGCCTAACTTAACCTAAATGCACATGCTAGAAAATTCTGAATAATATTTGCCTTCTCATATGCTACAGTTTTTTCCTAAAATTGTTATCAAACCATCAATTTTGAATTCCAGAATGAATCAAAATTTGAAAATCTTATGATTACAACATAAATTACTAAACTGACGGGTCAAATGCAACCAATGGTATGTTTATTTAAATGATAGTTCAAATGCAGCCGGTGATTACATTTTATTGAAAAGGATAAATAATCTTTTTCATTAAAATATATTTATTCTCATAATATTAAACTGTTTGCTCCTAATATTAATATTTTTATATTAGTTTGCTCTCTTCTCTAAGGAACGGTATTCAAAAGAATTCAAATGAAAAATTTTAAATATTTAAAAGCGTTCTTTTTAAACATCAATAAAAGAAACTGAAAACAAACACTTTTCTTTCATCAATTGTATCTACAGCACTAATAATTTAAAAAGGATTTTCGCCTGAATTATTGTAACAGTTTAGTTAGCATAATGATTGATTTGAGGAAAGCTAAAGAAATATCCATTCGGAAATTTACTGACATTCGCTTAAAAGAGTGTTTGTAAAAAATGAGCTTAGAATATGATGGCATTATTTGAATAAAAACTTAATTTCTGCAATCAAACTGGAAGAGAAACACGGCAGTGTATAATTTAAAAATTGACAAAATAAAAGCAATTAATTAATCTGCCATAAATTTTGAATTAAAGGCGATCAGACATGAGTTCGTTTACTTCGGAAAATCTTCAGCAGAAAGAAAACTTTCTGCTGAAGAGGGGCCCTATCTGATCGATCTCTAAGTCAGTTAAACTTGATTCAAAATTTAAAGTTGCAACATAATAATATAAAAACAATATAAAGACCAATATTGTATATATGTAAGAAAAATTAAGAATATATAAAAGATTAAATTAACAACTTAAATTTCCCTTCTGTATTCTAAAAATAGTAACCCCTCTCTGTAGTGCGTCATTTCGAGACTATTCTATGTCATATGATTCTTACGTAATTATGATGATGTAAATGGAACTAAAACTCTACCAGCTAATAGTAATTTTACAGCAATATTAACTGTTCACTCAAAATGTATTGAGAACTAAATCTAACTCAGTCTGACTTGAGATTTCATCCTGAACATTACACACTTGTTTTCCACGCTTTGTCCTAGCTACACTGCTGTCTGACTGCTGCTGCTTTCTTGCTACAAAGTTATTAAAAATGTAAGCCTTTTGGAAAAAATACGTAAATCAAAATTATAATTTAAATTAGCTATAGCCTCATAATTCTTCACATTAATTTGGGTATTTCCCTCTCTGTTTTAAAAATAGCAATTGTTTAATACCCTTTTCTGGACTGCATCATTTGTAGACTAAGTTGTATTATATCACCCTTATATAATGATGATGACGTAGCTAATGGTGGAATTCCAAATTTCTGGAACCAAAACCTTTCTTTCAATAAGCTGGCCATATTTGAAAACTACGCTATTTCTTTTCCGTCTTCGGCTTAACTAGACAACGCCTGTGTTGCTCGCTTCTTATTGGAAACGATGTCAAAAGTGTAAGTGTTCTGGAATAAGCACGATTAATGTGCGAAGTAATTGTGGCCGCAAATATCAGTTTAAATAAAAATGAATACTTAATCTGTCTTGTTTGCTCAATTTGCTGTCTACTATGGATCAACTTCCCTATATCATTAAACAAATTAATATATACATACAATTTTTAAAAATTCTTGTACTTTAATATATTTTAAATATTGAAATTAAATTTGGACTCAATTCAATGAAGTCTGCATTTCCTTAAAAATGTGCGGGCATAAATATTTGCGATGAAAATACTATGCTTCACAGAAATATTTTCTTAAATCTGATATAGAATTTTTTTTTAATGTGCAAATGATTTTTTACAGATTGCTCATCAGCTCATTGTTAGGATTTGAAATATTAATACTTTGAAGGCTCGGCGAGAAGCTGCTAAAATTCGAGTATCTGTAAGCGAAGATTCGCAGCATTTACTTACGTAATAGAAATTCGAAAATGAAAAGGAAAAAAAAAAAAGAGTTTTCATCTCTTATTGCCTTTACAAATCCAGATAATCTCTATATATGTATATATAAGGGAAATACCACTGACTCATCGCGAGATCTTCGAAACTATACATACCAGTGACTTGAAATTGTGCATAGTTACTTCATTCCACGATGTAGACGCGCCCTAAGAACGGATTTTACGTAAATCCTATCCAAAATGGACTTTTGTTATACAATAGAAGTTTCTCATACATTTAGTTTTCAAATCCAAGTTCAGAATTTTCTTTTATTGTCGCCAAAACAAGATGTGAAATAAAATGTTGCTAATAAATGCATTTTCCTTTAAAAATATTAAATTGGTAAATAACTTGCCTCTGTACAATGAATACAAACAACATTTAAATGATAAGGTTAATAATATCATTTATATCTAACTGTTATCATAAGTTTCATGAAAATAAATGTTATTATTAAGAGAAATAAATTATTGTAATGAAAAATAGAAATGTTGTTGTATTTATAAAAATTGCGATACATAAAAAATCAAGGACAAATAATTATAATTGATTAAAAAAATTGATAACAAAGATAATTACATTTATTTTCGTGAAACTTATGTTATCAGTTAAATATATATACAGGGGTTGGACAAAAATATGGAAACACCTTTAAAAAAACATGTTTCTTTGCTTAATATGGTGTAGGAAACCCGTTGGCATTCAAAACAGCTTGCAGTCTTCTCGGAATGGATAAATACAGTTCCTGTATGTTTGCCAAGGGAATATTATACCATTCTTCCTGCAAAACGGTGGCAAGTTCAGATAACGATGTTGGCGGTGGATAACGAGAACGCACTTTCCGTTCCAATGTAGACCACAAAGGTTCGATAATATTCAGGTCTGGTGACTGTGGTGGCCAGGGGAGATGGGACAACTCATCTTCGTGCTCAGAAAACCAGTCCTGGACAATGTGAGCTGTGTGAACAGGAGCTTTGTCGTCTTGGAAGAGACCATCACCATCGGGGAACAAAGTTTGTACCATGGGATGAACTTGATCGGCCAAAATGTTCACATAAGTCTTGGCAGTCATGTGCCCTGACACAGTTATCATGGGGCTAGCAGAGAACCACGATATGACTGCCCAAACCATAACAGAACCCCCGCCATGTTTCACTCTTGGCAACAAGCAGTCTGCATTATAGGCTTGAGATGGCGTTATCCAGACGTAAACTCGGCCAGAAGTGGGAAACAATGTGAAAGAAGACTCGTCAGACCATATTACTTGCTTCCACTGCTCTATAGTCCAGGCTTTATGACTTAAACACCACCTTTTCCTGTTACGGGCATTAGCATCACTGATGAGTGGCTTCTCAATTGCAGCACGGCCAGCAATTCCCTGTTTATGAAGCTCCCTTCTAATTGTTTTTGTACTCACAGGGTTCGGTAACACAACATTCATTTCAGCAGTAACTTTTGCAGCTGTGGTCTTCTTATTTTTCGTCACAATTGCGACAGACGATCATTAAGGTCGTCTGTCACGATCACTCAGGACACACTTTCGTCCGCGCTGTGATTTAGCAGATGATGTTTTTCCGCTTTTCAAATATGCGGAATAAATCTTCGATACAGTACCTCTTGAAACACTAAACACCTCGGCTACCTTGCTTACAGAAGCACCTACCATACGTGCTCCAACAATTTGCCCACGTTCGAAGTCTGTTAACTCTGACATAATGCAATGACAACCTCACATAACAGTACTCCGACAAACAACTGAACTGTTTAGCACATTTACGAAGTTGTATAGGTGGCGTCAGTAGTCAAAAACGCCAGCGCCACCTACATATTTCATTAAAATCAATCTTTCTTTTCAAACATGCATTTCACAAGGTGTTTCCATATTTTTGACCATCCACTGTATATATACCTTAGTTTTATGGTGGCCTTTTTCGTGTAGCCCTACTGGGGATCCCACCACGTTAAATAATTGGGACACATCCCAACACACAGTACCTCATAAGCGATGTGGAAATATGTGTATGACAGATTCACTGACTGAAACTGTATTTTCCGACCTTAAATTTAAAATATTTACATTAATTAGCAACTCGAAATTAGACATTTCGTCCATATAAGAAAGGTTCACATTCGTACAGATAGTATGCCCAACAAAGCCGGTGGGTATCAGCTACTTCCTAATGTGGTATTGACAAGAAAATGTAAATGACGGCATTTAGATTTAAATGTAAGAAATAGTGATCTCATTTTCATGTTAATAGCTGCGAATGTAACTCAGTAATTTGATTTATTTAAATCAGAAGCTCACCATTTGGCTCATAGGATGACATTCTACAATAAAAACCATTACCCCTATACATTGATAACCAAATATATGTGATATTAACTCCTAGTTTCTTTCCAGTGGATCCCGATGAACCGCAGGATGAGATCGTTGACCCTAATCCTAACTTCCGCTGCAAGCACAATCATGGAAAGTTTACTCACGAAGAATATTGCCATTGGTATTACCACTGCCATGATAACAATGCTTCTGTCCGCCAGTGTAAGAAAGGGAAATACTATGACACCAGAAGAAGGAAATGCTATCATTCGAAGGATGTCTCATGTGAAGGACGACGGAAACCAGACGGTAATGTTTAAGAACTTGTTGAAATTGTAAACTATTTTTATCTGACATCTTTAATATTTCAGTTAGTTTAGTAGTCCAAGAGGGCGTTAGCCTGAATGGACTATTAGATTCGAAACGGGATTTTGCGTCGTACACTATGAACGGCGAACCACGTTTCAAATTGTTGGCACCAAATATTATCTTCCTGTTTTATCTTTAAAGAAATTAAGTAGTTATATATTCAGGTATGCATACTGTGAGAAAATGACGGTACCTAGAGGCATACAATTTTGAATAATGTCACCCGAACATGTGTACCTGGGAGCCCGATTTTTGGATTTCTAATTTCCTATTCCATATTTAGTAAAACTTTTAATGAATTTTTGATTAATAAACTCAACGGTTTGAAAGCGGCCAGTAGCAACACTGTACGGAATAAAACATTTTTATCTCCAACGTGTAAGACTGTCTATTGGAAACTCTAAAGATGTGTCGTTTTTAAATATTTCTTGATTTTTCTATTGTATTGAATTGTATGAATTTTAAGTGCGAAAAACAGGATATTTAATTAATAAAGTTAATGCACAAAATGTTAATAATAAAGCCATCTTATTAAGAAAATTGAATACTGATATGATCATCTGAAAAAAGACTGAAAAAAATATAAAAATTTATGCCAACACTTAACACTGCATCGGGAATTCTAAACATATGCTCCTATGCTGCTTTTAAAATTTTTCTAATTTTGTTTTTGAATTGTACACTGAAGTGACAAAAGTCATGGAATACCTCCTAATATTTTGTCGGTCCTCCCTTTGCCCGGCGAAGTGCAGAAACTCGACGTGGCATGGACTCAACAAGTCGTTGGAAGTCCCCTGAGGAATATTGAGCCATGCTGCCTCTATAGGCGTCCATAATTGTGAAAGGTGTTGACGGTGCAGGGTTTTGGGCACGAACTGACCTCTCGATGATGTCCCATAAATGTTCGATGGGATTCATGTCGGGCGATCTAGGTGGCCAGATCATTCGCTGGAATTGTCCAGAATGTTTTTCTAACCAGTCGCGAACAATTGTGGCCCGGTGACATGGCGCATTGTCATCCATAAAAATCCCATCGTTGTTTGAGTACGTGAAGTCCATGAATGGCTGTAAGTGATCTCCAAGTAGCTGAAGGTATCCATTTCCAGTCAATGATCGGTTCAGTTGCACCAAGGACCGAGTCCATGCCATGTAAAAACAGCTGACCGTTATGGAACCACCACCAGCTTGAACAGTGCCTTGTTGACAACTTGGGTCCATGGCTTCGTGGGGTCTGCGCCACACTCGAACCCTACCATCAGCTCTTACCAACTGAAATCGTGATTCATCTGACCAAGCCACGGTTTTCCATTCGTTTAGGGACCAACCAATATGCTCACGAGCCCACGAGAGTCGCTGCAGGCGATGTCGGGCTGTCAGTAAAGGCACTCGAGTCGGTCTTCTGCTGGCATAGCCCAAGGAAGACAAATTTCGCCGCACTGTCCTGTCGGACACGTCCCTCGTACGTCCCACATCGATTTCTGCGGTTATTTGACGCAGTGTTGCTTGTCTGTGAACATTGACAACTCTACGCAGACGTCGCTGCTCTCGGTCGTTAAGTGCAGGTGGTCGGCCACTGCGCTGTCCATGGTGGAGTGTTATGCCTGAAATTAGATACTCTCGGCACACTCTTGACACTGTGGATCTCGGAATGGATAATTCCCTAACGATATCCGAAATGGAATGACCCGTGCGTCTAGCTCCAACTATCATTCCGCGTTCAAAGTCTGTTAATTCTCGTCGTGCAGACATAATCACGTCAAAGCCTCTTCACATGAATAACTTGAATACAAATGAAAGCCCTGCCAAAGCACTTCGCATTTATACATTTTCTACGCGTTACTAGTGCCATCTGTATATTTGCATATTGCTATCCCATGACTTTTGTCACTTCAGTGTAGTATATGGTACGTGTGCAAATAAAATGTTGCTTAATAATAAAGCTAAAAAGACAAAAAGAAATTGGTAAACAGGAATAAGTGAAAAAGCAGATTGCTAGGCTGAGACCTCAGCGGGAGCGTACAAAAAGCATAAACAAACCCTTTTGAGCGCCTGTTAAAATATGAACCCTTTCAGATTTTACTTTCATTATTATTATAACTGAAGCACTTTTTAATTTTAAGCACCACGTCACCTGCGTAATCAGTTGCAATTGATGAGAATTTAAATTAATTTTTTCTTATATGTATTAAAACTACCGGAGTAAGAAATAAAACACATTCAATAAAATACTGTAAAGAAGTCGTTGGATTCAGTTCTGCTGTCTTCTATAAACATAACTAATGTAACTAAAATTAATTGATGAGACATCGTAATGTCTCATCGTAATGTAAAAACAGTATGCAATTGATAATTGTAAGATTTCGCGACTGCTAATTCATATAGGCAACACTGTATGTTATGTAATTCTTGAGTTTGTCCATTACTTTTCTCGTTTTCTGTTCAAGCCATGTAAAGTATGTGAGATATATCAATCAGCTCCTCAATAGTTCAGGTTTACTTGTTATATGAGTACCAAAGGTACCGGCTAAACATTCTGTCAGTCAAATATTTTCTATGTAGATTTTATAATTTCGATATTATGGTACTCGAAAAAAATATTCTTTTTTCACGGTAACTTGGAAATTTTAGTTTCCTAAACAATGATTTATGAATGTGATTTTTAAATTAATTTACTGTCATGCAAGTCTCACAGCTAATTTTCAACAGAAAGATAGAGCTATAATAGATGAGAATGATAATAATTTAAAATTGATGCGGCCTGTCTCCGAATTATGTGAGAAATATGGGCTCAATCAGTGGCAGATTCAGGTTTAGGAAAATTCACCCATTGGAAAAGTTATAAAAAAAGTTTGATACAGCACATGTCGTGGTTTTTATATACAGATCTACGTATGATATATTCACTTTGAAGTTAATGAACACTTTGTTTCTTTGCTGCATATAGCACATATTTTTCGTATTATCTGTATACACGTTTTGATGGTGCACATATAACAATCCGGAGTATAATTTCGACGAATTCACAAACATAATAATGGATTTAAATATTAATTCTGTTTAGGAAATGGTATTTTCGGTTCCTAACACGTTGCGGGCAAGGAATTTGAAGATCCAGATTGTCAACAGGCACGATCGGAGAATTCGAGCAATGTGTCGTAACGATAAAGATAATATTCCTATTTTTACATCCTAAAATTTTGAATTCTAAATTAGATTCTAATTTCTAAATATTCTAATTTCTAAATTAGATTAGAAAACATATTATTTAGCACACATACAAAGATAACAAAAATAAACATCAGGTGTAAGTCGCTTGACACAATCAAAGAATAAGCTCGGCGAGAATTCACGCTAATAGCAAGCGTGCTAGTTACAACAAAGCTAGCCGGTATTGTGCTACCAGAGCAAGATCAATTCGGTGCTTCATTCAAGGCTACCAGAGATGAACTTTCGAGGATGAGTCACTAATTTTCTTCCCTCCTGAATGAGAGAGACAGAACGCTCGTAGGACCATCTCTTGGATCTGGCTACTACTTAAGAGTTCTTCGTAGTTGGAATGAAACCAGGCATATACTCGTGAGAAATGAAAAGGATTACTATAACCATTAATTTTAAAGTTACATGCGATATTGTAAGGATTATGTTAATTTTATTAACAGTTAAATTTTAAGTTCCTTTCCTGTCAAATTCTTAACTTCAACTTGCTACTTCCGCCCATAACTTAGTTTTAGAATCACGTCTGAATATGTACATAATGAGGAACAGCGGTATTTAACGAAGTTCTCTGGTCTTAGGGAGAGATTCACATCTTGTCTCTGCGACACCTTTGTTCTGTTTTTAGGACTTCCAGGAACCCTTATTAAACGACAACTGGCAAAAAGCCTGCAATCCACGCAGGCTAAGTCCAGTATAACAGCGGAAAATGGAAATGGAAATTAGGGAGAGAGAATCAGAGTTTCTGATTTACGCGCGTCTGCCTTCTGGCCACTCTCTCTCTCTCAAAGCTGTTATTACGCTCGGCCGTACTCAGGCCCTTGATAGCTCCGCAATCATCTGGCGTTTAACGGGCCAACTGCATTAGAAACTTGATAGCTTCGGCTATATTTCTTTACTTAATCTTAGTTTTACTACTTTAATTCTTAGTCTCTTAATTTCAAGCCCAAGTGTCGGCTTTGATTGTACGCTCCAAGACGGAGTTTTGTTAAATCTTATTGGAATAATAAAAGGGTTAGTTACCTTTCCATCTTGTTGTTTCTTGTCACACGAACTTAAGTGATTATTCGCTATCTAGTTCTTAAGATTCGTCACTTTCTACAGTAACAAAGTGAAAGTCTTACGATATGATTCCATTCATTGAGGTAAAACTATAAATGCAAACCAAAATTTCGTTGGAGGAGTTGGAGATAATTCAGAAAGCTGGATTGTATTTCCAACTATCTCTTCATATACAAGCAAATTTCTTTCGCGTAGTTTCTCACGAAGTTCAAAACATCCCGTACTATGAAATTGGCTCATAAAGCTGAGTCTGATTGTAAATTTTTGTTTCATAATGTAAATTGCGCTTTCCCCCCCTTTTACTGTAATTTTTTGCAGCATTATTACTTTTTCCACTTTCGTATTAGATAAAAATGTTGTGAGGTGAATCTTTCAGTTACAAAATTCCTCAGATGCATACCGCAGGTTAAACGTTTTAACGATTAAATTCTCAGATAAATGTATGTAATAAAAAAATTGTATTATAATAATATATTATTAATCTCCTTTTTATAGAATATAAATTGGTAACATACGTAGAATAACGAAGTGTTGTATTTTTCAGAGGTGGACATCACAACAGAGTTTATTACGAGAGAAGGTAAATATTTAATTTTCCACATCATTAGCGTAATGACACGAAGTTGCTTCGCGTAATTAGGAATTAATAAATAAATATTAGTGTGAATTAAATTAATGTATTATATTAATTTCTATTAACAAGTATATATTTTGTGTTATTTTTTAAAAACAGTATCCACAACTGAGGCGCCAAAATTTCAGTGTCCGAGAAAAGATGGAAAATTTGCTCATGAGAAAGACTGCGGGAAATTTTATGACTGCAAACGTGGAGAATATAAGATTCACAAATGTCCTAAAAATAAACTCTTCGACGAGAAGCAACGTCATTGTGAAGATGAAGATGATGTGTCATGTGGACAAAGAATCCATCCAGACAGTGAGTGTCACTTACGAAATATTTGTATAAAATACATATAGAGTGTTCCATAAACCTGAAGGAATGTTTAAAATAATATAAAATCAATAAATTGGTGAAGAAGAGTATAGTTTGCCCGCAAACATTTACCAAAAAGGAAATCTGAGAGCCATAAGATACATTTTAGTTCAAGTTTTCACCAGCAGGTGGCGTGTTACTGTCACACTATTAAAAATAGAGTGAAAAGCGTTAAGATAATACACTGCTTATTCTTATGCATATTGCGTTCCTGTTAATAGTGCAGCAATCCATTATTACGCTCGCAACTGCACTTCTTAAAGGATTTAAATTTGACCATTTTCGCTCTCATTACAACAGTTTCATCTGTTGGTAAAGACCTGAATTAAAATGCATCTCGTTCCGAAAGAGCTTCTTCTGTTATAATCTTTAAAAGAAAGCAGTGGTCTGAAATGACAGTTTCTAGATTTTGCATAATTTTTGGGGAAAGGATAATGTAAAAGAGCATTAATATAAAATGCATATAAAATAACCATATTCAAAATTCCTTATCTTTTAGTAGTCCATATTTTTCCTAAAAATATATATAAAAGTAATACCATCACAGCAATTTTGAATCCTAGCAGAATTCAAACTTTTAGAATGTAATGTGTGTAGCATTAATTATTTAACTGCTGTGTAAATGGCAGGCGGTAGTTTGTGTGCGAGATGTTCTTCCACACCTCTCCAAAAATCTCATTCTGAAAATGACATTAGTTTACAATATAATTTTTTTAGATCGTTTTGATGTTTAACCTACAAATATTTGCACAGGTTTTCGAAAGAATTCGATTGAAAGATTGATGTTATTTATAAGCGCGTTTGCTTATCAGACAGAAAGGCTGCATTTGTTTTATATCTTGAAAAATAATGAATTATTTTTGGCTAACATGAAAATTCTATTCTGGCAAAATAAAATCCGCTGACACTATCATGCCTTGAAAACTGATGGACAAAGAATGGAAGGAATCTAAAAACAGTATTCCAATATACTTTAGATAATGTTGCCACTAAACGAAACTTAAGAATCATAAATTGATCATCCACGTGCACTCGTGCTCAGCCGATTCTCTGGATGTTTGAAATTTGGCATATTTGTTGAAAAAGATAATAACATCAAATATGGTTTAGACATTTTGTTACAATTATTTGAAAATAGGAACGATGTAGCTTTTTTCCCACTCATGCACTCATGATTTAAGGCATAAAATGATTATAATATAGTTTCAATACAATTTGAAATTCGCAAATTAAATTGAGAACATCTGCTTTGATGTAATAAAAATAACAGACAAATAAAAAGGGAAAGGAAAATATGTTGCCATATATTGAGAAGTTCGTCAATACTTGGCCCAAAATGAAAAAAATGCTCCAAGATAAATTTTTGAATTTTTCCGTAAATTTCGCACCAAATTTTACAAAATTGAATATTTAAGCATAATTTGAGTCGTAGAATCGAAATATGGAAAAGGAATTGGCATGTCATTTCAGAAAAAAGTCTGATTTTGTGTCAAAATACCTATATTAGAACAATTCTAAATATAAATATAATGTGTATCGTAAGTCGCTCTTTCCAGGCATGAAAAACTCAAGTTGAATTTCGTCAGTCGGCCCAGTAGAAAGGCAGTGGAAAGTCCTTCCCCCCTTTTTTTGGCGCAGTGTACATCGTACAATCCCACCGTGCAATTAAAAATACTGATTTACGGCATAAAATTATTATAATATAGTTTCAATACAATTTGAAATTCGAAAATTAAATTGAGAACAACTGTTTTGATGTAACAAAAATAACAGACAAGCATAATAAGAACCTGATAAACATAATGAGATAAGTGTAATAAGTATTGGGAACACAATGTTACATTGAACTGTACTAATAATAATAAAGAGGTGTCCATGAGGTCAAATCGTTTGAGAATAACATCAAAAAACTCTGAGTAAAAATCTGAGTGCAGGTAATTTGAGAATTTAAAAATTGGAAATTCAGAAAATAATTTTGATAAAAAAACCAATACAGTTTTGAAAAAGGACACTTAAAATGATATGTTGGAGCAAGTTATAAAGTTCACAAGTAGAATCTTTTTGGACATATTCACAGGATATAAAAGTTCATTAAATTTACGCAGCATGAGGAAATTATACTTGACAGAGATAGAGGTCGTAGAAAGAGACGTTGCATAATTTTTTGAAACTTCGGATACTGGTATTTATATTTAATTAAAAATTTTTGGGATGGCAGGAGATCAGTTTGTGAGGATTTTATGTGATTATCCTCATTTAAGAGTATGAGAAATCGAAAATAGTTGATAAAGTATGTTTTTTCGCTGTTAAGTATCAAAGTGGAATGTATATCTTTCAAGAGAAAATTGTTTGACGTATGTTATCCTATAATGGAAAAAACCTCTTTCTTTAGTTGAGATTTAAAATTTTTAACTATAAACACCTTTTTGAAAAATTATACAGTAATGTGAATTTTTCAGTTTTCCATACCATGCTTATACCAAAAGAGCACTTATTCTCGAAACAGGATTTTGCGTTGCTTCACATTCAAGTCTATTGCCATTCGGAAAAATGTAATATTTATATCTTTAAAATTTAATGTGGCTGTTGTTAACAAACTAAGCTATTTAAATGCTGTAAATGCAATTCTTATTTCATTGAAAACATTAAATATTTTTAGAGAACAGCGTTATGTACAGGGTGATCTTTTTTAAAGTGACAGTGTTTGGAGCGCCCTGTATTGCGATCTAATAGCCGAAATGGGACCAAACTTGGTATTTAGACTAATCAAGACATTGGGAAAAAGGATTCGGTAAAAAAAAAATTTAGTTCCAAAAATCGCCGCTAGGGCATTTTGTGGCGCTGCTGTAGCTTACAATAACGAGAATTAGCATAAAACACGGGTACCAAAAAAAAATGCAAATGTTGTGCGATGACAGCGCCAGTAATAGGTGCTATAAGAGCAAGTAGTAGAAGACAACTCCGACAAATAATCTCAGATGAAGTAAACGAGCTCCAGTGGACATGCCTCTCATGTTACCGGAACCTGCGTTGCTGGTGAAGCTGTATTACATGAATCAATGTAATGCATCCGCAGCTCTTCGGAAATTTCGAACCAGAAAAAAATTACGAAAGGGCCCTTTATCGCTGAATGGTCTTAAGAAAATGATTAAGAAGTTCGAGGAAACGGGGTTACTGACCATTCGCGCTGGCAGAGGACGTAAACCAGTATCATAAGATGTAATAACTGATATGGCAACTGCAATTGTCGAAGGATCGCAGGGAACCATTGCTGGTACCAGCAGCGCCCGGGGTGTAGCTCGACAATTAGACATGAATTATTCCACGGTATGGAGATTTTTGCGCCGCGTTATTGGATTTTACCCCTACAAAACCAGCCGCTTGCACGAACTGAATGAAATCAAGTGATTATGATAAGCGAGTGACATTCGCTCTATCGTTTCTTACCAGGGTAGAAATTGATGATGCTTTCCCATGGCACATTCTGTGGGGAGATGAGTGCCATTTTTATCTAAATGGGTCCGTAAACAGACAAAATAGCCAAATTTGAGCTTCTGAGCAGCCCCACGCCGTGCACGAAATTCCATTAAATTCCCCAAAAGTCACTGTTTAGTGTGGTTTCATAGCCGAATTCGTAATTGGGCCATTCTTTTTTGAGACCATCACTTTGACAGGACCCCAAACGTGCACCATAAATGCAGAAAGGTACCACGAAATGCTGCAAACGTTTGTTATTCCACAACTTCAGCAAAGAAACCGTCTCCAACAGACAATCTTTATGCAGGATCGTGCTTCGCCACACATTAGTAATAAGGTAAAGCAGCTGTTGCGCCAAAACTTCACTGATGATAGAGTCATAAAACGCAGTTTTCCAGTTGCATGGCCGCCTCGTTTCCCTCTCCTCACGCCATGCGATTTTTGGCTCTGGGGTTATTTGAAACCTCAAGTTTATGTTGGTGTACTATCAAATTTGTCTATTCTAAAGGACAACATAAAAAAGATAGTGAGGAATATTCCTCGTGATATGTTACATACGGCTGTAGAGAACGTGTGCACAGAATGCACGGTGTTATTTCTGAGAACATTGCTCACATTGAATGTGGTCTAATTCCTCACCAGGGAAGTTAATGTAGTAAATAAAGATTAATAATTTAACTGTACGATTGTATGTTTTGATGTCCCATGTCTTGATTAGTGTAAATACCAAGTTTGGTGCCATTTCGCCTATTAGATCGGGCTACAGGGCGCTCCAAACACTGTTACTTTAAAAAAGATCACCCTGTATTTTTTTACGTTTCAAATGTGCAGATGAAGGATAATTTCCAAGGGAAGTTTTCCATGCTACTTTAAATGCATATTCATCTAGTATCCTATAAAATATTTCGTTATTCCACCTAGGCTATTTCGTTATTCCACCTAGGCTATCTTCATTAATAATCTGATAATCTCTATTGATAAACCACATTAAACTCGAAAAAAAGTCTTCTGGGAAACCGTTAAAATCTAAATCTTTTTCTTTATACTTTTCAGTATCTATTTTAGCTTCAGGTCCTATTAACCTCGATGCTCGCTGTTTTATCCGTATCACTTTTCAAATGAAAGAACAATATTGGCGACAGATGTTATTGCCATGTGTTATTTTTAAAAGAAATAATATATATAGAATATAAAAAAGGCATGGCAACAGTTAGCGCCATTGGAAATTCTAAAGCTACGCTATTTATAAATATTTTGTGGTTTTGCTGCTGCATTTTCTACGGATTAAGTATCACGAATGTGGTGTTTAATAAATAAAGTTTAAAAGGCAAAAAGCTCTACATTAAAAACGTAAAAACAAAATTGTATAAGTCATCTTAATACGAAAATTGAATATTAATATGATGACTGATGAAGAACCGAAAACTTTAATGGCAGGAGTTAACATTGTTTAAGAAATTTTAAACAGAGGTTGCTTTTAAAAATGTTACGATTTTGCTGGTAAATATTACGTTGCATAAGTGTGAAGAAAGTGATGTTTAATAATAACGTTAAAACAACAAAAAAGCTATCTAGGCCATATTATTAAGAAAATCGAACAGTGATATGAAGAATTAAGATAAGACGAAAAAATTTTCAAAATGTATGGCAACACTAAATCTATTAGAAATTCTAAAAATATACTGCTTTGGGAAAGTCTGCGATTTTGCTGTTGAATTTTATGTGGCATAAGTCCGAGAAAAGCGATGTTTAACAATAAAGTTAAAAAGACAGAAGAACTTGTGTTAACAGGTGAGAGTTCAAGAGCAGACTGATACACTGTCAGCTCGGCGAGAACCACAAAAACTTTAACAAATCTTCTGATAAGAACTTTAAATCTGAATCTCTTCAGTATACTTTTCTTTTTAATATTTATTTTCATAAAGCAGCGAAATTTTATTTTCATTTCCCTGCCATCTGATATTAAAATGTTACTTAGATTACAACTTGGTTTCCTAAGCTCTGTTCAAACAAGTAGCTCAAGCATAACAGGCCATCCGCATAGTGAAATACCAAAATAAGGCTCATCATATTCATTTATGATCTTTTAACTTCATTGCATATACAGTCAAAAGTCGTTAATCCGGACTCGTCGGGACTTCGGCGATTCCGGATTATCGATTTTTCCGGATTATAGATCATCAGTTTAAATCTGGTAAGATGACATGCAGAAATTACAAAATTAAAAATATGAAACCGTAATTTATGAAATAAAGAACAATTATGATCTAAAGGGTATTAAAATTTACAAAAAAAAAGCTTAATATTTATTTGTTTACTTTATTAAACATTTCTTTCAATGTAAGTTGTTTAAGTTGCTTCCTTTCATGTGATAATACTTTCTCTTTAATTCTATTAAACAGACATAATTTCTTGTTTAGTTACAAAGTTCCGCTGTCAAATCCTATAATTGCTTTAAATCATATCAAAAACGGAGTACATCGACATGAAATACTACATTCAGTAAGGAATTATAAGCCAAATAAAATAAAAACATCTGCCGTGAAGATAAGGATAGTGCTGACAGATCAACTTCCAATTCATTACGCGTCACGGCGTTTCCCCCCTCCCCCCGCCGCAGAGCAGCGTGAAATTGATAAACAGATTTCGGATTTCGAAACATACTTTCGCTTTGTAAATCCTTTACATATTAGTAAATATATATCCAAGGTTCGTAGCGGTCCTTACAAGTGCTTATAAGTCCTTATATTTGAAAATAAAATATAAAGGCCCTTATAGGTGCTTACTTTTTCTTTAAAGCCCTTATTTTTTGCTTTTAGTGTTTTTTTTTTTTTTTAGTGCTTTTTTTTTTTTTTAATAAACGCGCATTTTTTTCCGTACCAAAGCCGAAACTAAATAAACAACTTTTCTTCCTTATATGCAACGTCAGATGGTGAATCATACTCCCGGAAATTGCTTCCCCCCCCTTTCTCTGCATTAACGTAACCTGTGGTGCGTGCTCCGCGTGGTCAGTTCATATTCATGTTTATTATGATCGTTATGCTTATATTATGAGCATATGAATGAATATTTATAATAATATAGTTGCAGTAACTGCTGAAGTATAGATAAACTTCCAAAAATGGGTGTGTTTTTACGCAAATTACCTTTCTAAGGAATAATATTCGGAATGGCTTAAATAAAAGGAAAGTAATCGAATAGTCAAAATAATTTTTTCCCCCAATACATTATACAGTACGGAGGTTGGGAGTTTCTCCCCTTTCTCCGCAAAATCTCTAATATTGAAACAGCGGTCTTTTTTTTTTTTTTTTTTTTTTTTTTTTTTTTTTTTCTGTCACTGCCTAATCTGGATTGAATAGGACTAAACGTTTTTGCGGTCCACCCAGCCTAAGCGAAGATTGATTCTATTCCGGCAATTTACCGCAGTCTGTTGAAAATTAGACTCAGAAACACCCCAGATTAGTAAGTCTCTTTCTTTTCCTTTACTCAGTTCTTTATTCTCCGAATACCGGCTGCTGTTGATTCCGATTGCGTGCGCAATAAGGTTTGCGGTATTTTGCAGAGATAATTAATTTTGATGTTCAGTCCGAGATTTGTTTATGAACACTTAAAAGAGTTTTACTATGCTTTCTAAGCAGAATATTTCTCTTCCGTTGGTCTATTTTTATATGATGCACATATCGAAATGTCAAAATCAATTATTTAGCCGAGAAATCTAAAGAACGGCTACAATCTCCCCTACTCCTCTTTTTCCAGTTACTATCCCGAATATTCGGCAATTTCCGAATATGCGGGTTAGTTAAGCTTTTACTGTTAAAGGATCACTGCATGAAGCAATTTCCCGTCTTCTGATTTCAGAAATGTGCCTCTTTTTTACTTAATTTACTTTGCTTAGAATATATGTTAAGGAAAAACTGTTATGCAATGAAAATTTATAAAATGTTCAGAATTTTGATTTAAGTTAAATTATTTAAATATTAATATGAGTGGGAAAATAAATTGTATTTATTATTAGGTGCCGAACGAATACAATTAATATGGCTTATTATTATTTATTTTCTATATTTTGAACTGAAATTTCAATGCTCATTCTCTTAATAAATATTGCATTGCTCATATTTTAAATTACAAGTCTAACTTTTCTTTTAAGGTTATGCAGTTGTATATAATGTAATTAGACAGGTGCTTATTTTTTGCTTGAAAAGTGCTTATAGGTGCTTATTTTTTTAACTAAACTGTGGCTACGAACCCTGTATATCGGAAATTCTATTTGACATAATCGAAAGTTCAAGCTTACTTTTATAAAATTGCTCTAACAATCTGCAAAAAATAATAAGCCGGATCCAATTCGAAGATTAAGTAACAACGCAATCTGCAACATTAACTGAATTAGATAATTTTAGCTTACCTTTTACCGTCCGTTATACATTAAACGCGCATGCGCACACATATATTTGCAGCCGTAAAGGTCTTACGCGCACGCGTAAACGCTTATGCGCTTGCGTCAAAGCGACGCATGCGCAGAAAGTTTGCAGCTTTGAGGTCCGGATTATAGATAATTCCGGATTACGGGTGTCCGAATTAACGACTTTTGACTGTACTTCCGATGGAAAGGAAAGGTTATAGGCGGACTAGCATGGCATGCTCCCTATATAGATATGCAGCTCTGTTTTCATTCAATGTTCGCTGCATTAGATGCTGTGTCGAATTGCTCTTAATACCAGCCTTAAAATCACTACTGAAAATGCGCTGCAGTATCCTTTATGGTGTGGCTTTGCTTGCATCTAGCATCTATGAACAGTTATATTTGGCTAATCGAGAGATGAGGACTAGTTGTCCCATCAGTGAGCTACCTGCCATCCAGTGCGCCATCAGTTACGTGTTTTAATTCAATGCTTTATTACAGTGGTCTTTCAGATTGCTAAGTACAGTGGTCTTTCAGAAATGTGTCTGAATGATGAGTACATAAATTAAAAGAAATATTCAAAACTGCTATAAAATTTGCTTTCGGAGAGCAGCAATAGGTAAATGGTAGTCACCTCAGACATTGGAAGCAAGCTAAGCTAAATTAGAAAATTCAACCACTTAAGATGTATCATATATCTTACTTATGACTATCATATATCCACTTAAGATATACTATCATATATCCACTTAAGATGCAATCATATATAACCAAACATAAATTGCAGACATTCTAAAAAGTTTTTCAATCCCTAAATGTAAGAATTTTCCTAAGCAAATTGTTTAAATGGACTGTAATTTTGTAATTTCTCAAAACATTTATGCATTTAAATTATAACATCAGCTGAATTAAATAAAGAATTTAAAACGTCCTGCTTGTTTTGCAGTGGATCCCGATGAGCCCCAAGATAAAATAGTCGATCCTAATCCTGATTTTCGATGTAAAAGCAAGCACAGAAAGTATATTCATGAGGAATTTTGCCACTTGTATTATAAGTGTCACGACAAGAAAGCTTCTATTAGGGAATGCCGGAGTGGAAAATACTATGACATTAAAAAGAAGAAATGTGTTAATTCCAAAGATGTCTCCTGTGGAAAGCGTAAGGAACCTGAAGGTAATGTTAACCTTATTTCATATCTTACTTATACATGTCGAAGCAAAACCATTTTGGTACTACCTTATTATTACGGTTTTCATTATTTAAATGGCACTAAGCTTATTGATAAATTACCGATGCATATCGCTCGCAAACTGTAGTGCAACATCTGGTAATCCTAACCACGGTATTTATTGTGCTGTTTCGTTATTTATTATGGTCCGCGTTATTTCATGGCCGATTTCACATCGGCGAATGCAATTTAAAATGTCTCTTTCGTGTTAGAACGATATAATAACTTCCTGACTCCTTACTAAATCCAAAGTGTTCATTATTTGGAGAAAAAATGGAGAGAAAATACAATAGATATAAAATGCTAAAACATGGCCTACTCAAAACTCTTCTTGTGACGGTCAGCGAACATCACTGCCAAGCGTCTGGCGATGGTTTGGGACGTAATTTTACGATTTGTCGATAATCCTGGTATCAGTCAAACCGCGAGGGCTGTAATAATATGGAATGCCAAATTAGTTCCGCAGGAATGATTCAAGACCACAGCAAGCTATTAAAACTATGATGTACCATGTTGTGTAAAATTGCACGCCAGTCTTCATCACAAACAGCACCACAAATACTTTTACTGTATTTCTTACAATTTAATTAAACAAGGGATGGTAGTTCTAGTATTTTTCAGATTTAAAAATGTTTTATCTAAATTGATATTTTAAGCAATATTTCTAAGAATTATTGACATGTCTTTTCCTCATAGAACCTGGCATATTTTAATTAATAATCTCTCTTCTCTATTATTACGAAAGAAAGAATATGCTTACATGAGTCCGTCGCATAATGTACAGACATATGAGGGCAGAGTTACGAAATTTGGTGTGGTGTGGTGTGGTGTGTGTGATTATGGCAAAGCCTCGAGGGCTATCTGCCTAAGGGGAGGGATGTCTTCGTGGAGAGCTTTCTAAGGAACTGGCTCGTATACACGTTACACATGGGGAAAACCACGAAAACGCCCATGCAGCCAGCCCGTTCGCGGGATTCGAACCTCGGACCGAACTACCAGTGTTCAGCGACATTACCGCTGCGGCCGCTGGTGGGCCCCTACGAAATTTGGAATATATGTTCTTGGGGCAATAAAAGTATACAGGCTGAAGCATTTTTCTTTACCAAAAGTAAATTTAGATTTTTTATATGTTGAAATATTTTTGTGGATCCTTCGCAAAGACCTTCGCTTAATGAACAAATTAAAAGTCTCAAAATTTTACTGTTTGCACCATTGGATAGAAAAGAAATAAATCTTTTAAATGAAGTTTCAAATCGAATTATTAACTAAATATACTAAAAGTTGCCGATTTTTTCGAAAATTCTTTGGGCCATTTCACATCTATTACATTTAAATTTTAAAAGATAAAATTTGTTTATTATAAAGTTTTGAAATATTTATGGATTATAAAACAAATCTTATTATTCAATTCTTATTTTAAAAGAAAAGAGCAAAAAATATTAATTATGCGATTTTTAAAATGTTTTTAATATGTTGCAGTTTGACTGTAAGCAAAAGTGACGAATATGTGATATATATCATTAAACATGACGCTATTTTTTTCCTTCCTTAATAATTTTTCTATAAATACTAATTTTTGTTATTTATTTAATCATTTTTCTTTTCTTTCCCTCTTGTAAGAAAGAATGTTAAGGAATTAAAGGATTTTATTTATTTTTTCTCCTCTCCTCCCAAAGCTAGATTTTGAATTTATTATTTATTACTCATTACAATTTGTTTATTTCATTTCTCCACTCTCTTTAACTATATAAAACAACAGAGATTTTAAGGACTAACTGTCGTTTAAAATTATTTTCAATAAAACCTGCACTGTCATTTTAATACTTTTTTCAACGGATAAGTTTCTATATATTTTTCTCAGCAATTCACTATACTTTTTTTCTTAATTTTATTCTGCTTAATATTATATTCCGCGTAATGTTATATACTGCGTAATATTATATTTGGACGCAACATCCAATATTGTGTATCGATTAAAATTCTAAAATTTTCAGGTCTAAGGTTATAAAAGGTTATAAAACAAACTCTTTGCTTTCTTTTAGAACAAGGATTATAATATTATGTACAGATATATATATATATATAGAGAGAGAGAGAGAGAGAGTCTATTTGTACGGTAGAAGTTCAATCGGCAAGGTTTCTTGAAAGACATTTTAACTGATCAAAACACACACCAAATACACATACTACAAAGAAAGTACAGTGGACAGTTGACGGGTGACGGAGACACCATCATTCTACCAAAAGATTAGGTGTAGTTTAAAAGTTGAATATCCTAACTTGTAAAAAAAAAGCCCGTAATGGCACTTTTATCATTTGCAACTGCATGAAACGGGATTCTCAGCTATATGTATCAATAAAAAGTAAATACCGCAAGAGGCCTGATGCCAAACCTGACATGAGATTTGAGCTTCCATCCATATTGTCTAATATTAAGTATATGTGCGATAACAAAAAGCAGTACCACTCATCTCATTAAAATTGAATACGTTATTTTAAAAAGTTTACATTAACTTTAAAGTTACTTATTGAAGTAAATGAATATTATTTGAATATTTTTGTTGCAAATAATACGTTCACACAATGTTGCATTAAAAGCATATTACTGAAGCAAACCAAGGGTTCCACGATAAAAGTGGACTTTAAAAAGGTTCCACTTATCAAAACGATTAAGAAACGCTGGTGTAAAGCATTCAGAAAACAAATTTTCTGTATCTGTGTTTTTTCCTTGTAGAGACATTAGGATTTTTTGGAAGCAAGAGAGATAAAAAATTAGCAACCGCCTTCGCCGGGAATCGAACCACAGACCTCTGAAATACCGGCCCAGCGTGCAGAACCACTACACCACGAAGGCATGCTAGGAAAGTGAGAGAAATGCCTTATATACTCCCCTTTTTAAAGAGCGACTGGGATTTTTAGGGGACCCAACCGCCAAATCCTGGGTGTGGAGAAACCTCATGCAACACCCTTTTAGTTCGGGCGCCACTGTAGAGACATTAGGATTTTTTGGATGCAAGAGAGATGAAAAATTAGCAACCGCCTTCGCCGGGAATCGAACCATGGACCTCTGAAATACCGGCCGAGCGTGCAGAACCACCCGCGAAGGCACGCTAGGGAAGTGGGAGAAATACCTTACTATATCCTTAGCTTAGAAGAGAAAAGTTATTCCATCATTTTCTATATATAGTTGCTCCGTTAATTCGGTCGTGATTTCTTCTAAAGCAGTTTCTCTTGGGCTATTATTTATGGAGAACTTGGAATATTTTACCCTTGCTGTTTTAATATAAATTAGGTTCTTTGTCTCGTCCACACTAGGGGCATTTTCTATTTTATCCAACTCCTCTTTCTGTTTGCATGAAATAGCAATGACTCTGTTCTTAATTGGAGCTAGTTTATCGATTTTTCGTTAATTGATTTCAGATTGACTCAATGTCCTTTTCATGTCTGGTTTAGTTTAAGTGAGAATTGCTGTGTCTTTCTTCTTTGTATAGTTTGAAATTACTTCTGCACGTGTCTCGCTTTGCCGTTTGTTGTAAACAGAAGGGCATTCTTTTCCCCTCCCGTAAGGTGCACATTGATTATCGTCTTCTTGTTGAATTGGTTGTTGAACTGATGGCTACTTTGAGCTTATTTCTTGCGGAGATAATTTGATTCTGTTGTTGAGGTCATTATTAGTTTTTTAGATGTTTAACTTCTTCTAGTATGTTCTGGCTGAACTGATCCTGGGGAATAAAGGATTTCCCCCTTCTTCTCACGTTCACTTGTTCAATACATGAGCAATACAGCTTCTGGAGTGGCCCTGACATTCGATTCCACATGGGCCTCATGGAACTGGGCGGGTGGACGTAAAATTAATTATCTAAAAATACTGAAGGTATTGAAGTTGGACTTGATCGATGAATCGGTGACAGCCGATCAATGATTTTCTATCATAATGGATGCTTGACTCTATGTCTTCTATCTTTATATATTTTCACTATATTTTCATTTCATACGAATTCAGTATATTTTTTCACTATATTTTCATTTCATGCGAATTCAGTTCTTTTCATTCAGTCTGACGCGAAGCATTAGTCAAAATAAATCATCAAAAAATAATAACGCAAAAATTAATCATCCGATCGTCCATTTTTCTTTTATTTTCTAATAACTGCTATGGCAACATATTTCGATATGTTTTGGTGCTGAGGTTTTACTTTCAGAGTGTGAGAGAGCGTAGCACAGCATAAATATGTATGAAGCAAATATATACAGCATATACGTACAGGAAAATTAAAGACTCCCAATATACTGCAATTACCCGAATTGCCGACTATACCCGATAGTCGAAAATACTGTCAAAAAACCGAGAACTATTCACCATACCGTCCATTGGTAATTTTGAGTATATCCTGTATATTTTTCACGCTGCTAAAGAATCATTTTATTCTAGATCGCATTTCTCGTACTATCCTATAAATGTGATCTTCATGCGGACTTAACTGTGCAGTAGAAAACACTTCTCTAGAAACATTAAGAATTACGAGGTATATTTGAACCCGAGAACTTTGAGTTTTAACTACTATTCGCTAAATATTTTTCCGTCATATCTATATTTTAATGTAAAAACATTCTTTTCATTGAATTACATCCTCAAGTGAGTATATTGCATATGTATATTTTACAGCATGTGGTGTTTAAAATATTATATATGCAATAACTCATTATCATTATATCATTACATGTATCAATAACACATACATTATTGCGTATGCAATAAATAATAAAACTCGTATCGTTATTACATATGCAATAAAAAGTATTCTAAAGTTTATAAAGGTCAGCAATATCGTATCATATATTCGGTATTTTTCAATAACGTTTATATAAATGTAGATAAGAATTTATTTATAATATTAAACAGCTACTTTTAATCATTAATTGATTAAAAATACATACCTTGTTATTTTATTCCCGATATGAATTTTAATTTTCATAAAATTTGATGAACTTTTTCTTTCGATGCACACATCTGAGAAGCCTGACTCTTCCATCAAAATATCAGTGTTGACGAGATCTTTACAGTGATAAAAAATTTGCGATAGATCCATCCCTTTTACCGTACTTTTTAGTTGGTAATATCGGAGTGCAGCCCTGCCGAGCGATAAATTCCCTGAGACTGGTAGTTCGGTCCGAGGTTGAACAGGTTGGTTGCATGGGCGTTTTCGTGGTTTTCCCCATGTGTAACGTGTTAACCCTTTGCGGCACAGTGTGTCTGGTCTGGACACATCTAAAACTTTCCTTCTGTACGCACAGAAAAATTGAATAAAAAAGCATTTATAAGTTACTATAGGTTACTCTGAACCTTCTTTGTTTACAGTAGATGGCAGCTCAACACAAACCAGTCCATACATTTTAGCCATGTTTAGTTTTTTAAGACCCTCATTTTTCAAAGAAATCTTTCAGATTTTGTTAGGGTATAAAAGGAATTGTTTGAAAAGAAATTTCTATGTTATTTTTTTGGCTGTATGCTAATCTCCTTATTCTATATTAGTTTTAAATGTGTACATTGAAATCTTGCCTAAAATCAAATGGCGAACCCTAGGTGTGCCCAAACCGGGCTCACCGATAATCTAGGACAACTGAGAGTCTGTATTCTTTGTTTATCTGCATCTCATCGGTCAGTTCATTGACAACAATGCTCGTTTCAGCACTCTTTTCGAAGCTCTATTCAATCAGTGTGTCACAGAATTAAAAGATAAGTGCTATCTTCACGAAATTTTACTACTCCTCTAGGCCTAATTACACTGCCTACCTTTTTTTTTTTTTTTTTTTTTTTTTTTTAATCAAAACTCCAACTTTAAATGGTAGTGTGTCGAAAAGTGTTAATACTAACCAGTTTCACTTAGAAAGTCCTCCACGAAGGCATCACTCCCGTGTAGTGCCTTAGGAAGCAACACGTAACTAATAATAATAATATTGGATTGCATAATATTGCATCCAAAACAGTCCGTTGCAAGGGATATATATTGTGACCCCACACAGTGTGATAATTATTGCAGGTTTAATAATAATTGACAGGCTGTTAACTTGGGCTCGAATTCGGGAGAGAGCCTTATCAGTAGCCGAGCGGATAAGTATTCCCGAATACTGTTTTTTTCTACCAGAGTTCGAACGCAGATGAATGCGCCGCCTCCATATTAAGTTTTCTTGATTTTCCCCATGCAAAACGCAAATACGAACTTCTCTCGCGAAGGTCCTCCACGAAGGCATATTTTTTTTCTTCGGCAGGTTGCCTTTGTGTAGTCTGACACATTCAAATAATAAAAACCGGAGAAAACGTAAATACGCATTTGGGAATGTGGTGGCTTTAAGGAGTGCCAGTATTTAAAATCTCTCGATTCAAAGTTCTCCCTTAGGTTTAGCGATATGAATAGAAATTATGGAACACCAAAATTTCATACTCTGTTAGTTCTTGATCACAACTGCATTAAATTTAGGCATATATATTTTTCGTAATATATTCTTTGACTGAACTGATACAATGCTTTATCATTTTTTTAATTATATATTAATCATATTAATGAAGCAAAATGGTACACAAATAGCAGAAAATATTAGTTTGTTGAATTATTATTGCATTTGAATAACTTATATTTCAAAATATCACATACATTTAAAATTAATTGCATAAATAATAAACTGATTCTAACAGAAATATCTACCATACAACCAAAACCGGAGACTACAACGATTACCTTTCCTGAGACAGAGGAAACTTCAGAAATTTCTATCATAACAAGCCCTCCCTCTACAACTAGTGAACAGCCAGAAACTACATCGACCTTCCCTGAGACAAAGACAGTTTCAGAAGCCTCCAACATAACAAGACTTCCCTCTACAATTAGTGAGCAGCCAGCAACTACATCGACCTTCCCTGAGACAAAGACAGTTTCAGAAGCCTCCAGCATAACAAGACTTCCCTCTACAATTAGTGAGCAGCCAACAACTATATCGACCTTCCCTGAGACAGACACAACTTTAAGAATCTTCAACATTACCAGCTCTTCCGTTACAGTTACTGAGGTGCCATCAACCACAACTCCTCCAAGGACAATTACGGAGGAACCAGCAACAAGTTCATTTGTGTCAATTACCAATGAACTAACAACAAATCCACCAGTGACAACTACAGAAGAAACAGCAGCAAGTTCCATGGTGACAGCTGCTGAAAAACCCATTACAACAGGCCATCCCATTACTACTACAGAAACGTCCATGACGAAATTAAACCTGACTACTGCTGATGTTTCGTTGACAACAATCCCTCAAATGATTTCCACATCATCGAGACCTATACCATCTGAGCACCCAAGGACAGCAAAAAGCCAAGCAACAGTGTCTGCGCATACAACAGTATATGAAGAATCTAGTACATCACCACCTTCAGTAACAATATCTGAGTTACAAAGTACAACACAGTTGCCAACTGATGATGGTAAGACAATCAATTATTTCGGTTATTTTTTAAATAAAATTTGTTTACAATATTTTAAGATAAAAGTTTTTCAGATATCAACATGAATCATTTAAATACCGCTTTTTTTATCTATAAATATTTCCGTTTAAGAGAATTGTTCTGATTAAAGATTTAAAATTTTTTTTCCCTGTGAATCAAACATTTTCCTTAAATTTTTCAGAAAGAGGGTTTTTATATTCTGAATGTTTTATGAAAAGATTTTTATTTATAAAAACAGATTACATTTATAATAAATCTATATTTTTGCAGTATATTATTTATTACTTTAAACATTCCGGTGCTTTCATTTGAATAAATCTATTGTTTTGTATGCATCGACGCAAAGTACCGTGTACTTTGGAATCGTTTAATCTCTAAATGCAAAATTTGTAATATTTGAAAAATAAGTTCAAATGAATCAGCAAATATAAAATATAAGTAAATGATCTTTAAAAAATATTTAACGTGTTCTTCTTAGGTGTAACATTTTTCTTTCGCTTTTCATTATATTTTGGTATTAATTTCACAATATATGCCAAATATATTATCGTAATGTGCATATCTAATACTGATGAAGAAGTTCGCGATTGCCATTGCGAACGGCTGCGACCTCATTTAATTCATTAACATCGAGTCTATCACGAAATCGTCCGAAAGACTTTGGAATGTGATATTGTTTCGTATGCTTTATAAAATGTAACAGATGTTTCCGTTGCTGTTTTATCCGTTTTACAACAAAACTACATTATTATTATTCTTCGCTTAGCTTTCAAATTCATGACAGCAGATGTTCATTGGATCAAAATAGGGTTTAACTGGCATACCAGACGATATTTTAAGGAAATTAAGCAGAGATTTAACAGCAATATATACTGTCGCAATGTTTGTTGTCATTGCTTGCCGACAATGCTGTCGCTTCTCCTTTGACAGGTTTTTCTAGAATTTATTGAACGATTTAATCCTAAAACTTTGTAGATACATTGTGTACTTGGATCAAACATTCTTGTTGAACTACTATTAACAAAACATTTTCTCTCTTTTAAGGTGTTAATCCGGATAAGATAGTGAACCCAAATCCAAAGTATGATTGCAATGGCGATGAGGGCAATTTTCCGCATGAGAAATATTGCCATTACTATTTCAGCTGCAAGAATAACAAAGCAACGCTTAGAGAATGTCCAGAAGGAACCTATTTTGATATGATGCGAGGGCAGTGTGAAGAATGGTACATGGTGAGCTGCGGAGACAGGCTTACTCGCGAAGGTAAATAAATGTATATGAATGCGAACCATTCTTTTAAGAATTCAAATGATGTTAATGGTTTATATCTAGAATTATTTATATAAAGTGGAAAGTTATAGAATAAATCCAAAAATTCTAGGAAAATATTTCGGCAGTTAGCGTATTTACCCATTCGCAAGCCCACGGTTTTCTTTTTTATTGTTCAAAGATATCCTTCGTCTTAGAATATTACCATTAATATAGTTGGTATACTTTATTTTTTATTCATTTTCGTTTTCGATTCCCTGAGGCCAGCTTTCATTCAGTGTCAGCTTATAATCCTATAAATATAATAAATAATAAACTTATCAAGCCTAGAAATTTTTCAAAATGTCCATCAAATAAATGTCCCATAGCTTCCTGAATAGTATCTCTTAACATTTGCTTAACATTTTGGTTACGGAATTGTCATGTTGCGAATACCTAAATTTGTCTAGTCTGCGCAAAGACATCATTTAAAATGAAATCATAAAGTACAAGAGATTTCGTTTTAGCAATTAACACTTTTACTAGGAAAATCCTTCAATAATTCAATCATCTTCAAGAATTTGGCTTAAAATGAAATAATACAGCATATGAAGAAATGTTCTGACAGAATACTTTGTGAGACAGAATTTGCTAACCATGCAATTAATATACAAAAAAATGCACTAGACATTATCTATTTTCTAAAATACAGACTTTTACTAAATGGCTGAAAAATGAATGTGATTATGTGCTGTAAGTTGTCATTCTTGTGTCTGTGAAATAGCCTTGTTTATCAACTGTTGAGAACGTTCAAAAAGGTATAAGTAAGTAAAATCTTTAAACATTCTTAAGTCTTATATAAAAAATTAAATTTCTCATATTTTGCTTTAATATTATTTTGAGTGCTTTCTTTTTAGCAGATTCTGTTAGAAAGGAATCAATACCTTTCATAAGATATATTATGTAAACGAATAAAACTCATAAATTAATCTGTACATAATACAGGCAAAAAAATCATTTTTACTAATTAATCTCAATTAACTCGAATAGAATAAAGTGCTAATAAAATGAAATAGTCACAAATTAACTTATTTACTGTCTCAATCCCGTGACGTGGAAATATATTGTAACAGAGTTTACATAAAAGATATTTTCTCAAAAAAAGATAAATATATATGAGTGAAAAAGCATATTACGCTCTCGAATCTGGTTTTAATTGTCTGGTAAATCTTATCTCGCAAGTGTTACCTTTCATGAGAATTCTTATGCGACGCCCTAATCGGTTTAGCATTTAGCGTTATCAAGTGCCCTAGCGTTGGGCCTAGGTTCGAATCGAGGAGAAGATTCGGATGTTTGTAAGTGTAAAAGTCTTTACGGTATGAAAGCACTTGAAATACACAACAAACCAAGAATCCTCTCGAATGGTTTGTGGTAGGGAAAGAAGAGAAGGAGAACCTTAAACACGTCCTCTGAACGAGTCGTTTCCAAAACTGGGACGAATATGGGCGAAGGCCAACTGTCACCTCTAAAATGCCAATGCTCCATGCCAAGGACAAACACAACCATGCTCTCCTTCCTATAATAAAATTCATGAGACTTGTCCTGATGTTATTATCAGGTATCTCGCAACAACATAACCCTTATACAATATTTCGCTTTTGCTTGACAATGTACTTTTTGTTTTAAGCCTGTTAAAATATTTTTTGAATTATGGCTGAAATGCGTACTACATCTAAGATTTTATTTAATTTACATGACCAATATGTGTAAAGATAAGCAACAGAGCCTACGCGCAACTAGAAGAAGCCAAAATTCAGTTTTAAATATTATTGAACACATTCACACTAACAAAACAGTTGTGTAATGTTTCTATGTCACAAATTAAGTTACAAGTCAAATTTTAATATTTTTCTGCGTGGAACAAAATGATGGAGCAATGAGGCATAATAAATTGCTAACATAAAGAAATACAAAATAAGTAACACTTTTTAATTTTTAATTTTAGATGTTGATTCGACTTCTGATGATTTCGAAAGCACGCCATTTATTCCAGAAAGAAGAACGATTTCGTATCCAGATCTCAAAAGTTCAAGAGGTATATGCATTCTGCGTTTATTTTAAATTCAAAAATAGCGATTTTATAACAGAATTTATACCTTTAATCGCATGAAAAGTTAATTATTCTAGCCACCTGAATTTGGAGCATTTTTGTAAATTCTAATGTAGTTGCACGTAAAATGTTCAAATTAATAAAATTTGGCCTGCGTAGGGTGTCTTTGCAACCACATTTTCATCTAATTAGATTCTAACCTTGTCCAAGTTATATTTTTACTAATTTTTATTTCTATCAAGAACAAATGTTTTTAGATCTGTAGGACTGAAATCTATCATGTGTAAACCAATACTGGTGAATAATGCTGTGATAGCCAGCTTCGAAAGCAAATTCTCTTTTTAGCAAATGCCAATAATTCTGTCAGTACTTAATTTAGCTATTGAGCAGATACTGAATGTCTTACAGTATGATTAGTTCTAACTGAGGAGTTCAAGTGCCCTGCAATTTATGTATTGAAATGTGGATTCTCAATGTCCGTACCAAAATGTCTGTTGACATAGCCCTCATCTGGATGAGAACCACATTATCAAACCAGATATTTTTTCACTAATCGGTCCATTTTCCTTTTATCTTCATCAATAAATTTGCAAACTTATTTCTATTTTAAATGTCTTCAGTATTGATTGGTTCACAAAGGTAACAGTTGTACGGAAACTCTGATATAACTTTCATTTATTCTTTCCAAAATTAATGCTTTACACGTTATTTAGTTTTCTTACTTAATGATGATAATACTAACCATGGGTTGAAACTGAAGCCTTTTCTTTGAAAAAATTTGGCCTTCTTTCTCTACATTTTCTCTAGTCATAACAGTCATATTTCTCTAGTCATATTTGTTGCCTGATGCTACATTTTTACATCAATAAATGCTTCCTGGAAACTTTGATATAACTTTCATTTATTCTTTCCAAAATTAATGCTTTACACGTTATTTAGTTTTCTTACTTAATGATGATAATACTAACCATGGGTTGAAACAGAAGCCTTTTCTTTGAAAAAATTTGGCCTTCTTTCTCTACATTTTCTCTAGTCATAACAGTCATATTTCTCTAGTCATATTTGTTGCCTGATGCTACATTTTTACATCAATAAATGCTTCCCCTGCTGGGGAAAGGGGGAGATTAGGAAAAACCTGTTGAAAATAGATAAAGTTCATGCAACTTTGCTGGTTGGTTTTGTAAACTCTATAGAATATGACGTTCTTTGGTAGCATAAACTAGTATTTAGGTATACTTGGAGCAAATTATCGCTTCGTCTGGAAAGAACTACAGAGACTGGAAAAAGTTTGAAACAAACGTTTTTCATTAAATCTGCACTTGAATATAAAATACACTTCTTATGCTTGAGTAGCTCAGTTACCACTTGTGGCGATGTAACTTTAAGTAATAGACTCAAACTCAGATTAAAATATAACCCAGTAGTCAAAGTCTACGCAATTTAATTTAAAACTAACTTGTCTCAGATCTTCTCACCGATGTAATAATTATATGCCAACAGCAATACTGCAAAACCGAATAATAACAATGTTATTAGAGATGGCAAAACCTATGAACGTGACCTCGACGGACAAAAACACATTCGGTCTTACTGTTAAAAACCCTCGACTCAAATATTCTCAAGCTTATTTGCATTCTGGTGAGGAAACGGAAAAGACAAGTGGTAGTAAAGGCTGAAATTATAAACAACTGGTTAGTTAAAATAATAATAACCCTACAGCTTGCCTTAATATGCACAAATATTCTGCCAAACTCAAAGATTCCCAATTGAAAAGTTTTCACACTAAGAAAGAATGTCTTAGTATTTTATCGCTTAAGCTCTTATAATATAGCAATCGTATGTATAAATTAATACAGACGTGACTTTCATGTTATTTAGGCCATGCTATACTTAATTTTATGATGACGTTCCTGTGCATGCATGTGCATATGTCTTCCTATCTATGTAATATGATAAAAATGAGAGATATTACATCGCCGTATATTAGTTTCCATAGATCCAAATTGTACATTTTTTTATTTTCGGTATGCCAGAATAATGTTAATAGGACTTTTTCACAGAAAATGTAACAGACTATCTTAAAAATATGTAAACACAATTTTACTCAAATACCAGCAATAATTCTTTGAACTTCGTTAGAACACATTCATTTCAGTCAGAGAATAGACAGCAAATTTATAATGTCAAATATTTTAATGCGCTGTATCATAAATATAAATTTTGAAAATTGAAACAGGTAACATGAGAATTCAACTATGTCTTCACCCTGATTCGAATTTCGGATCTTCCAATTACTATCCCGGCGTGCTTATTACATGCATCACAAGAAGACGGTCATTTATGGGAACAATCACATTATTTCTTAAACATCATAACTGTCACAGTCATAAGGCGTAAAAGCCTCATTCTTCAGCTCCATTCGTATCTGTCAACAAAATCTAAGGCGTAGACAATTATGGAAAGTAAATTTTCGCAGCATGAAATCTGTTGAACATCCGGTTATAGAGAGTGAATTTGCGCGTGCAATGAATGTGCACCTCAGTTTTCAGCTTGTTTGCTCTATTGTAAACAGTCAGTTCTTATACTACCTTTGGATAAATTTGAGATGTTATAATATTTTTGCCAATTTCTGTGAAATTCTTAAACCAATTGATACACAAATCCTCTTGTCAGTTTATCTAACGTAAGCAAAGTCTCGGTGCTTATCAGAAGTTTAATTTATACTACTTGTCCCCCCAGGGAATTAACTAGTGTGCATCCTGGGATTTGCACTTAGACAGACACTGCACCCAGGGTATAAAAATATGAGTCGGGTTACTACTGAACAGCAATCGGATTGGGCAGTTTCAAGGGTCAGTCATCAATGACGAAGGTTCGAATATCTCCACACACTACATGGTTTGTTGAAAAAGCCGCCTGCCCTTTAGGGTTTGCAAAGGCTTCGGACGGGTGTATTGAAAGTCGCAGAAGAATTGAAAGAGTGCAACACTTTTTGTTCGAGCCTTGCCTCCTGCCCAATAAGGAGTATAAGAGCTAAGCCGGCGAGCCCATAGTTGCATTAATTTGAAGAGGTGGTCATAAATCCTAGTTAGCTACGCTATTTGTGAGTGTTAAGTCATAATGTTTGCATTCTCTAGAGGGCGAATGGGAAAGACAAGATCAAGTCGACTAAATCTGGGTAGTAACGAAATATCATTAATCATATTTTTTAATTCGAGAATTTTATCGAAGCAAGAAACGGGAAAATGACCTGCAGCCTCACCACCAATGGAACCATGAACCATCCATCTGATAAACTGGTCTTGCTAATTACGTATATCACGAGATCATACACTGATCAATGCGATAATTAGTTACTGTGAATGATGCAGAGTTGAAATCCTTTCTTAGAACCATTTTCTATCGCTTAATTAAACAACGCCACCATATGACCATACATTTTTCTACAAATTATGAAATTAAATAAACTATCTATCATATTTAATTTAAATCCTTTCTTGTTTCATGATAGTGATCGTATATTTATTCATTTTGTACACATGTATCATGTGTTCCTGTTTATTTACATCTTCTGTTACGTATGCGAAAACATGTGCTTATACTACGAAAGGGCTTCTTTTTACATTTTACATTACATTACATTTCTTCTTAGATAACTTTGATAAACGTTGCTCATTTTTAAAAAGATAAACTATTTTGTTTCCTTAAACAAGAATCATTTAGGAGATAGAACGAGACAGCAAATAATCATTAATATCAAGTTCCGCTGAAAGGAACGAAACACCAAATAAGCACTAGTATCAAGTTCCGCTGAAAGGAACGAGACTAGTACGAGACACCAAATAAGCACTAGTACGAAATTCCGCTGTAAGGAACGAGACACCATTTAAGCACTAGTATCAAGTTCCACTGAAAGTAAGGATATCCAGGAAGCAGGGATATCCAGGAATATTTTCAATTTATATTCAAATTCATTAATAACAAAGAGGTTTTAAGAAATTCTGTAATTCATGTTTACACTCATTCGGTAATTTCCAAAATCATTTACATGTGATTTTTCACCTTTTGCTTCAGCTTACCTAAACAACTTAAACCGCGTGTATTTATGTCTTTAAAATATTAGTTAGGTATTATATACTTTTCTTTCCGTCTTTTTCAATCTTATATAACTGTATACATTATAAATTCTAGAACCAGTTTCAGAAAAGCCAAGCTTTGAATGCCCTACTGAAGAAGGTTTCTATGAACACGAAAAGAATTGTGAAAAGTATTATATCTGCAAGAATAAAGTACCAGAAGTAAAAACTTGTTCCGAGGGTCAACTGTATGATACAGAGAAGAGGGCTTGTAATGACGAACAAGAAACCAACTGCGGTGAAAGGATTCATCCAATGGGTATCGTATTTTGTTTCCTTTTTTTGCTTTCTGTAGAGTAAGAATTTAAAGTCAAAAATATTTTAGTTTGTCTGATCTGGTACGCTTTTATTCCGCGAACTAGTTTAATTTCAGTTAAGTTCACTGATTAAACTGCTATCAAATCGAATAAGATCTCCTTCAAAACTTCGTCGTCCACAATTTTCTGAGCAATTTTTATTTCCACGAATTTTGCATAGTTAGTTTACTTAATGAGGGCAGGTGATCCTTCCTTCTTCTCGAGTTGGTAACCTACGCGGAAAACAACATTAAGTAGAACTCTTTAGTCGTCGTCATAAAAAACTGCAGTTAGAAAACATTTCTCCAAATCAACTCAAGAGGAAAGCAGTTCTAAGGAAAGTTTCCTACTAGTTTCGCATCCGTAAGTGTGATACTAGCTTTCCATGAAGTTTAAAAATAATGACTGGCAATCCTCCAGGAGCTATGTTTACTTTTCCATGTACTTAAGATATTAAGTATTTAACATATTAAAGTTCATTAATAAGCTAGTCTTACAGAAGGCAAAGAATTTTATCTTTACTTTTATGTTACTTGATGACAATGCCCTGAAAATAATTTGTTATACTCCAAGTTACAATTATATTATACTAAGTATGCCATTCACATTTCTTATAATACATCATAATAAATCAGATACTTATTTAAAATGATAACAAACACTAAAAGTAATTAATATCTTTCATGTACATTTACGTTCAGTTTACTCATAATGCCCATACTGAAAGCATTTAAACCGTTTGAGAGTAAAAGAATACTATTTAATAAAATTAAATCATCCACTACAAGTAAAATGATTTGCACACATAAGATCCGATCCCTCCCCAAAGCGTTCCAACATTTATATTTTCAGAATGCATCTTCTGCGAAAAGTTCAAGTACGTATAACTCAAAATATAACTCTTCAGGCTTTATTTGCATTAATTGTTAATGAAATAATTTTTGTTGGGGGTTTTTTGGTTTCTTAATAGACCCGTTATTTCAGTGAGACAGTAATTGCACTCTGTATAAAAGTTGTTTTCTACGTAACGTATTAAATTAATACTTGTTTACTACGCAAAAAACTATATTTCTAGAAATTACATATTGCTTGTTATTCATTTCTTATATTTTCCAGATGATCCTGATAATCCAGACAAAATACCCGATAAAGTAATTGATCCAAATCCTGATTTTAATTGCACACATCGACACGGATGCTTTACGCATGAATTATTCTGCAAATGGTATTATTATTGTCATGACAACAGGCCAGAAGTTCGTGAATGTGCTGGTGATCAGTACTTTGACTCAAAGAGAAACAAATGCTTAGATTGGTGGATGGTGATCTGTGACAAAAGAATAGTTCCTGAAGGTATATCATTTGTTCTATTGTCTACGTTTTATTTACATCTAAATCTATTGCATAACAGGAGTTTTCATATGTAATTTTATTACACTCTTCATTTCTTACTGCTCTATTGAGATTCCACCGGTAATTTGTGCATGTTTTATAAGAACTAGCTTTCTTGGCTAGCAAAATTAGCTACTAGACCTACATGAAAGTATGTTAGCGACTTACCATTAAGAGTAGAACATGTATACAAGCGGAGAAGGACCCTCTTATTGAACTCTGTTATTTACAGATGGCACAGTCTTTGTGCTTACAAATCCACCATCCATTTGTGGCGATAAAACTAAAGATAATTGTAAACTAAATTTAAAGATAAGTTAGTAGTTAAAGACTGCACAAATTAATTTAACCTAGTAGGTTGACTCAGAAACCTACACTGGCGTAATATTAAACTTCGGCGGCAATAATACGAAGCTAATATTCAGAATTAAAACAACTAGTCGAAATAACAAAGTGCGCACTCAATAGCAAAACGCGCTCTGACTAACGTTTTCGCTACTTCAGTTTAAATACACTCATTTACATGCTGTCGTGAAAACGCGAGAGAAACAAGAATGCTAGAAAGATAATTTAACAGGCAAATAACACTAACAAATTAAAATAACTGTTTGTAAAAATAATGTAAACCTCACATATCTTCCCACCAGAATTTAAATATCGACAATAAAAGGTCTTTAACGACCTTGATAAAGATGATTAAATTCTAATCCTAACTATGAATCAACCTTCATAGGTTTTAAATCTTAAAATTTCTTAAACTAATTTTTGCAGACGAAATATCGTACCACTTTCATTACACAACATTTTTTTTTTTTTTGTTACTTTTTTCATCTTGTCTTCTACCAATACCTGGAAGGAAAATAGTTTCGAACACACGTCTCATATATTTGACATATTCACTTAGCTTTCAAAGGTTTTACACAAATAAATTTATTTTAATTTAACTTCACGTGGAAAAACACATTTTTTCACCTTTTAAATCTCTGTCCTGCTCTTCAGCGAGGTGGTGTACTGAAATGAGAGCGCGTGCTGATGTGCGTGTTTAACACTAGCGCCTAAGCGAACAGCCTATATATTAGAATTTTGACATTTCAAACCTCAGAAATACACCCTAAATTCAATTCTCAGCTCTGAGGTGTTAATTCAAGTGAAAAATTCACGGATGGAGAGCTCAACTGTCAAATTTATTCATTCTCCAGATACTTTTAATTTTTAATTAAATTCTACTATTAGCTTGACTTCAGCTCTTTTATACATGCATACTTGTTTACGTTTTACAAGCATGCACAAAAATACTTTTAGTTTTAACACATACTTTACAAAAACTTTTAAGTTCTTGAATTCTTTTACTTTACTTGAATTTCTTGAAAGCTATTTCAAATCATTTATATTCAACAAAGTTCATTGGTTTAAAGAGTAAAGAAGTTGCTTTACTTAATAGAAATCACGCCTAAGTTTCCTAAACTCAATCTTTCATACTAAAGAAATAACCTCGTTCTTATTGTTAAACTTAAAAATTTATAATATAAATAATTAACTCAAAAAGCATCTTGCTCAGTACTATTCTAAAATAAGATTGTCCTCGATGTATAATATATGTATGATAAGTACCTAAAACTATTTTTCCGTATTTTCAGAAACTACTTTGTTTCCAATAACAGACGCTACAAAAGATCAAGGTATGCTAAATTTATTTTAATATCTTGCAATTCGTTTTTAATACCTTCCTATATTGCCCACAGTTTCAGAATATTTTATGTTATATTTCTGCAGGTACAACTTCATATGAAAACAAAAAGACTGGTAGTACTGATGAAAACAATAACATAGGAACTGACTTTACACATAATTGGAGCAGGGAATTTAGTATAACAGAGAGTGATGAAAAAACTGGAATGACGAGCACCGATGCCAAATGGACTGGTAGTGACAAGTGGACTACGATGGACTGGAGTAAAAGAACACGACAAACGGACCAAAGTGTAGAAACTGATAGCGGCCGGTGGACTACGACAGACTGGAGTAAGAGTTCGAGGTCTACGAACAGAAATGGAGGAACTGATAGCGGCAGGTGGACTACAAGGAATTGGAGTAAAGGACCATGGTCCACAGATCGAAGTGGGGGATGAACAGATGGAGCCTACGAGGGAATGGAGTAAGAGTCGAGGCTACCCGAAGATGGAGGAAAGGAGCGCGCATGGACTACGGGGATGGTCCACAGATCGAAGTGGAGGAACTGATAAGGGGAGGTGGACTACAAGGGTTGGGTAGGAACCTGTCTACTACCGAAACGGGGGAAACTGGTAGCGGAATGGCCTACTCCGATTGGAGTAAAGGACCTGGCCCACAGAGAAGTGGAGGCTACTGAGGTGGACTGACAAAATTGGAGGCCATCAACAGATGGATACCTTTATTATTAAAGTACATCGTTTCGTAAGGCTTCGAAGATTATCAGAAAATCAACCGCATGAGACAGACTGTAGCCTCTACTTTCAATGTAAAAACGGAATTGCAAGCATAGAAAAGTGTCCTGCAGGCATGTTATTTAATAGAATAATGAAACAATGCTACAGAGAAGATTGGGTTCATTGTGACCACAGAAAGAGACCAGAAAGTAATTCTTATTACTTATTTATATAACCTCACATCATTCTTTCCACATATATCTAAACTAAGTTTTGTAATCAAAATACACTTAAACTAAAAAAGTTATTCAAATAGTGAATGTAACTGCTTGTGTTTTGCGTCATAACTAGATATCCTAGAGTTCTGAAAATGGAAAAAATACAAATACTTACATTTGGAACGGCAGACCTATTTTTAAAAAAATTTCAACTTGTTTAAAAAAAATTAAATAAAAACTTAGTTATTTAATTACATCGGTTACTGAAACATAAAAATAACAAAGGATAAAAGTTGTATAATTATTGGTATTGTATTTTTATTTCTAGTAATGTATCTAATAGTTGAAAAATGTTTAAAATTAATAGTAAATAGTATCGCTTAATTAAAAAAAAATTAGGTCAGAATTTTGTTGTATCGACAACGAGATGTATCAATGTATGATGATGATGTATCGAGTTTCATTTAAAAGCAAATTAATGAATTATTAATTTTATCTCTATTATCACCTTGTTAATATTATTTAAGGACACTACATGTTACTTAATATGCTTTGATTATTTTACGAAAAACGTTCTCCTGAAACTTTTCGAACAGGTTTTGCGTAAAAATTTCGAATTTATGCATTTATTTACGCATTCAAGATACGAAGATTTTAAAAACCAGTATTAATTATTGAATCAAAGCAAAAGCAAAACTCATTGTCTAATAATCAACTTACTTTTATTATTTTCGTAATTTCTATTGCATGTTGGATGCAACATTCATTGTTTAAAAAATCAACAAAGCAAATAATAAGTCAATTTTATGTTACAAATTCAGAGTTTAAATGTATTTCTTTCTCAATATTTCATCTAAAAATTTGATGACATTTAATTTGATAGAGCCTTTAAAGTTTCTTTTTGAATATGATTATTTACTTTTTCTGTTCTAAATCTAGTACAATGCTTGTAAAATTCTTTCTGAATTCATCATGCCAAAATGAATAGCTAATACACGGTTCTAACTATGTAAGATAAAATTTTAATTTGTAATAGATCCCCAAAATTTCATTTTAATTTTGTTATTTCGCAAAATGCTTATTGTATTTTTTGAAATGCTATATTCCAGAATTAACCGGAAGTCATATCATTTTCATATGTTAAAAGTGATGCACGTACTAGATAACAGTAAATGTGAAACCCTAGTTTTGGATACGATAGCATTCAAATAGACTTTCCTAAATAGTGAAGCTGTAGAATCATTAGGTTTTTTGGAAGCAGGAAAGATGAAAAATATGCAACGCCATCGCCGGGAATCGAACCACGGACCTTTGGAATACGCGCCCAACGTGCAGACCACCACACTACGAAGGCACGCTAAAAAGGCGGGAGAAATACCTTATTAAGTTAAGTGATGATTTGACTCTCTGTTTAAAAATATAAGGAACCTTTGCAATTTTTTCCATCTGTCACAGTGTCGAATCTCTCTTTTTCAGCATTTGTTTTCACAAAGTAAACATGTATTTTACAACCGCACTATTTATCTTCAATAGTAACTGTAAATATGCGACATCTGTTACAGTTTCGTATCTCCCTTTTTTTGAATATTTAAACACAGTGTCTTAAACATATAACTGCCTTGAACACTTAATCTGTTTTAAACACAATACTTGTTCTCTCTTTTTAAACATTTGTTTTATACACAGTCTCGTATCTTTCTTTTTAAACATCTGTTTTCACAAAATAAATATGTATTCTATAGCCGCAATGTTTATCTTCAACAGTAGCTGTAAATATCCGAAGCATGTATTTAAAGTTGTTGAACAATATGTACGCCTTTCGGCGGCGCTTAAAATGCTTAAATTGATTCATTATTCTTGGAGTTGTGTCTAAATAAAGATGACGTAGGAAAAGTTCATACATGCGTATCATTGAAGAGAAAACGATCAGCTTTATCATTCCCTGTGCCCTCCATGAAAAATAAATAACTACATATGCATTTCCTTCTTTTTTAGTTGGAGTAACTTATGATCCAACTGCAACAGAGAAACCAATCGAGGAACTGTGCAAAGAAGAAGACGGTGACTTCCATCATCCTAAAGACTGTAGGTTATATTACACTTGTAGGGATGGCGAATCTGAGCTCAATGAATGCCCAGTTGGTATGCTATTTGATAACGCCATGAGAGCTTGTTTCGATGAAAATAGAGTTAATTGTGGCAAGCGATACAGACCTCAAAGTGAGTACTTTTCGTTGATTAAAGCAATAACATAACAATCAAACAAATCTGAAATATTTCAAATAATAATAATTAAAATCTGAAATTTCAGTTTAAATTACGTACGGGGCGTTTTTTTTAACATTTATCTGTTACCTTTATTTAGTAAATATCACGTTCTTCGCACCATAACATTCACGTTCAAGAGGAATATCCAAATAGTTTTAAATTGAGCATATCTTTAGAATTTCCGATACAGGGTTTCGCGCGCTTAAAAATGGTTTTCTGTACACGTTGCCTTGCTGCTTTTTGAAATCTTTTGTTTAATCAAAAATTCGTTAAAGTTTTAAAAAATATAAAATCGATAATAAAACAAATTCCAAATTTCAAAATTTGGGCTTCCACATACCCATATTCGCAGTAGCATTTACATCATTCAAATTCGATGGCTCTATGTAATCAACAATCGATGGCTCTATGACCGTGTTTTATCACAATTCGAGAAAATACATACATTTATGCTGATTTTTCATTATTTAATTTCTTCAAATAATTCAGACTCTAACATTTGGTGGCAACAGTTTGAAAACTGAAACGGACATTTACAGTGAACCAACGCAAAATCGCAAAACGTAAACAATAGTCCTTCAGGGACAAAGCCCCTTTGGACTAATGAGAGATATCTAAGATTTTCTGAAATAAGAATGACGACTAGTACCAACCTCAAAACTGCATCGAAGTAACAAAATTAAAAATAAAGAAATGTGATATTTTTGAACATGTCGGTATGAAACAAATTCGTATCGAAAACATTTTTTAATATTTTAGTACTCAGAAATTCGTAGCGAATATATTTTTTAGTATTAAGAAATTCGCAGCGAACACATTGCTTAGTATGCTTTTACATCGACAACTATGCTGATATTACTCAAAATGGCAGTCAGTATTGTTATATTTTCCCATTTGCAGAGACTCTTTCTTCACTGCATTCCAGCCTTTCTAATTGTAATCCTAAAAAAGGTCATCAAAGTTGATTACAAAACAAACTTAGAAAACAGAATGTAATTCATAACATTCGAAATCCATTTTCTGCAGGGATATAACACACGATTAAGTAATGGAGGTAAGGAAGAAAATCGAGTAAATGTTATTCCTCCAACCGAAGATGGATTGTAAATGCATGAATCAGATGTCAGCTTCGCGTTCTTTTTCCCCATCAATGCTCCCAAACGTTTTATATCTATTTTAGTTTAATTTTATTTTGGGTTCCCTTATTCCTAATTCCCCATGAGTGCATAATGGCCAAGATTGCTGCATACTGGCAATTCATCCTCAGTTCCAGCCCAAGCGAACAGATTAGCTGCATGGTTGATTTTCGTGATTTTCCTCTTGTGCAATGTGAATAAAAGCCATTTGCTCTTAGAAAGCCATTCATCACGGCATCACAAAACCTCAAACATCTATATGCCTCGTGTCGCATTGTCATATTCACATAACCTAGCCTAACCCTTGCACCCACTTCTCTTTTTTCCAGCGACACTAGTTCATTCAGCACCAGAACTTTCTTTCATGACTCACGAGAATGCACGCATCCTATTCCCCGCAATAAGTTACAACTTTTCGCATAGTAAACAATTTTTAGACTAAACAAATCATGACCCTTTTTTCAGCTCCTGATCCTTCTTCTCTCAACCAACTGAAAGGCTTACAACTAAATGGACATGTATCTTTGTATCGACGTCCAAAATAAATAAGGTATTACATTAGGTAAATATGATATAGACCCAGTTGTAAATATAATTCTTATAATTGAGGGCGGAAGTACTAATCCAACTCAGTGAATGGCTGCTCGATTATCGGTGAAACTAAAATTTCCAGAATTTCAGTTTGTGCATAATGGCGATATTAATTGTGTATCGCCATCTATCGATGAAATCTGAACTAAAATATAATACCTTATATCTCCAAAATAATCCGCTTCTATGATAAATTCATAAGTGCAAACCGTAGTCTGATATCGCAATATACCGGATTTGATTTATTTCATATGTATCTACAGTTGCATAAAAAGTGTGTGTGTGATTATGGCAAAGCCTCGAGGGCTATCTGCCTAAGAGGAGGGATGCCTTCGTGGAGGACTTTCTAAGGGAAACTGGCTCGAATACACGTTACACATGGGGAAAACCACGAAGACGCCCATGCACCCAGCCCGTTCGCGGGATTCGAACCTCGGACCGAACTACCAGTGTTCAGCGACCTTTCCGCTCGGCCGCTGCATAAAAAGAAATAATATTCTAGCCTGTAAGATATAAATCATTTTAATAGTTTATTAAAATACTTTCTATACAGTACTGTGTTTCTGTGTTATTAAAATGAAAGGAGGAAGCCAAAGATCATAAATAAATTTGATAGCAAACTTAATTTTTAATAGTCTCAAAAAATAAGCGATCCGGATAATAACATTTTTGAAGAGCTACACTTTTACTTTCTAATAATTTTTGCGCTTTTTTACATCACCATTGATACAATACAATAATACAGAATTATTACATTTTTCTGAACTGAAAGGACTTTTTATCACTTTTGATCACACTCAGAGTTTCAAATGGAGACATTCATGAATACAGTTCTTTTGCTATCTTCTGCAGAGAGCTTAATATGTGTATATATATGTAAGATAAAATTATATGAATCAGAATTATAATATAACTAAAAACATTAATTCTAACTTTTCTCTTCGCGTGGGTCCATCTTGCATAACTACGCACTTCAGCTTTTGCTCTCTACTGTGCTAAGATGTGATTTCGCTGGCTTGCTTTCTATCCCAACAATATCAAAAATGTAAATCTTCTGGAGAAAGGCACGACTAGAGCACCAAGTGATTGTGGCCACAAATATCAGTTGCAAATAAAAATATAATGAAAACTGCCTCGACTGCCAAGTTCTTTAGATATTACCAAGTTAGCATTACTAGCATACTACGCAATCAAAATCTTCTTCAATATGGTCTAATCACGCATCTACAGTGTTCCGCCTTTTCCTTTTCACTATGCATTCGAGCTTCTCAATTTATCGAGAGATTACTTTCAATCTGTACACACTACACGTGATTATTTTTTGAAGCACTTGCAAAACAGCAGAAGAATTATCTGTTATTTTTTAAACACTGGAGAAACAAACTTGATGATTCACTTCTTTCAAATTATCTTGGATTTATCACAAAACGATGATTTGAAGAGCTGAACTAAATTTTTCCATCGAGGTTTCAGGCTGCAGGAAACTATCCTACCGGCTTAATTGTCAAAATAAAAGCAAAGGAAAAGACGGAACACTGTAGATGCGTGATTAGACCCATATTGAAGAAGATTTTGATTGCGTAGTATGCTAGTAATGCTAACTTGGTAATATCTAAAGAACTTGGCAGTCGATGCAGTTTTAATTATATTTTTATTTGCAACTGATATTCGTGGCCATAATCACTGACAATTCTAGTCGTGCCTTTCCACAGAAGATTTACATTTTTGATATTGTTGAGATAGAAAGTAAGCCAGCGAAATTACATCTTAGCTGAGTAAAGAGCAAAGCTGAAGTGCGTAGTTATGCAAGATGGAGGGCACGCGAAGAGAAAAGTTTTGGTTTACAAAGGCAGTTTCAGTTCTCAATTATTACGTCATCAGAGCTGCGCGGGTCATAGAGTGATCTAGAAATGACGCAATGCAGAGAAGTTATTACGATTTTAGAATAGAGAGGAAGAATTAATGTTTTTAGTTATATTATAATTCTGATTCATATAATTTTATCTTACATATATACAACCTGTATATCCCATAAGTCTATAAATATTTTTTAAATTGAAGTAATTGGTAGAATTGAATGGAGTTTGCAAAAACGTTAGTTTCGTGAAGGGGGAAAAAGAAAAAAATAGTTCAATTTTCGTAGATAGTGGGCGCCGCACGGTTGCAGTAACAAGAAATATGTAAACTAGAATCCTATAAATTGCAGGTTTTATTACTAACAGCTCATTTCTGATTACATTAAATAAAAATTTGAAAATAACGCATTTCAGATAATATTTTCATTTAACATTTAATTCAGATACACAAAAACCTTAATTTTATAAATATAAATAACTTATTGTATTATTTTCTAGCCACTACTGCAACACCGGATGACTGCGATGAATGGTTACGAACTTTGAATACAACTGTCGGGACTGTAGCTACTTCACCAGGATCAGGTATGAAAGAAGCACAGAAATTGCTTTAGTGAAGAAACAGTTGGTTCGCGGAAGTGGAAATAGAGAACATAAATAAAGTTTGATTCATGTTTATATTTCCCGAAAAACTATTAAATGATAGTTCAAATGAGATTTCAATATTAATCATCTTAAAGAAATTTCGTTATTCAATCATTACATGCAGATTTGAACTGAGCTTTTTAATTCCGCAGTCAATTCCCAACTAACCGAGTGGCAAATAAACCGCCCCTTGTTTTAAAAAACATTTAACTTTATTTATTGCAAAACGATGGCAAAATATCATTGCAGACTATCAGTATAGAAAAAAAATATCTACGGAAAAATCAAAAAAGGAAAAGAAAACTGAGTAATATAAAAGCAGTGACAGTAAAAAAAAATGATGTCATAACCTTTTATAAATTTATTTTTTCATTTCTAATTGTCTTAATTCTTTTGTTAGTCATATTATTTTGTTTATATGCACCGAGTCAATTCGTAGAACGATTTCCTGTTTCTGAAACACGATTCGGGAAAAATAGTGAAGCCATCGCCAGGTTTGGAACACTGGATCTTCCGATTGCCTGCCGGTTATGTTTTCATTATACCATGAAGGAACGTAATAAGGGAGGAAAACATTCCTTGCATTCTCCCTCCGATAAAGAATGGTTGGGAAGGAGACGATCCAGTCGCTCAACTCAGGTAGTGACGAATTTTCATTCACTACATTTCAGTTCGGATGCCACATATACAGCGATTTAGAATTTTTTGTAGAAGGGAAATAACAAAGAATCATTGTCACTGCCGGGATTTGAACTCAGGATCTTCCGGTTGCCAGCCGGACGTGCTTCCAATTATACCCCGAAAAACACAATAAGGAAGTAAAAATTCCTTACAAATTTACATAACCAAATGAAATTATTTTCCAGATTAAACTGTTTGAAAATATAGAAAGAACTGGTAATAGTGTTTTTCTGTTAAATATAGCATGGGTTATTCCTCTCTTTCGATACGGATAATAACAGTGTTTTTTTAATTTTGCTCGTTTTGTTCCTGGTATTGTTCCTGGTATTGCCCCGGTAAATGGGTTGAGTTCACTGTAGGTTTAGAAAGTCAGTGGTAAAACTTTTTCCGATGTTTTGCAAATCTAGAAGAAAAACTACTTTTGTTTGCTTAAAATGATGTGTGATTGCTTGAATTTTATTATTATGTTCGTTTTGATTTCTTTTCTCTCTTCTTCTGAACTCGTAACAAAACTCATATATACAAAACAAAAGTTACCTGAAACATCAAACATTCAGTTATTTCTCTAAACATTGCTCAATATATATATAAGATTTTAGTAATTTCAGTTTCTAAGTTAAAGAATTCTTTTAATATAGAATGTAAAATATTGCAAACCTTAATAATTTATCCATTAAATCATAATCAATCTTAGCATAATATCATTTCTGTAAGCATTTTATTTTTATTTTTGCAGAAACAGTAAGTCCGATTGACAAACAAACTGGAGGTACTGATTCCACGGATTCCAGAAGTTCTTCAAGTACTGATGAAGACAAGAATCGGAGTACTCAAATAGACGATCACAGTAAAGATTCGAGCAGTACAGAAAGCATTCAAAGCACTACAAATGAACCTGGAGATGATAAATCATCAAATACTGCGACTGATTTAGAGTGGTTCAGTACAGAATCATCAAAATTTATTACAGGAAGCTGGAAAAGCACCTCAACTGAAGCTGAAACCAGTGGAGAAACTGATGAAAAGACAGTGTCATCTTTTTCTACTCTCAGTACCATACAAGAAGATTTTAAGACACAAACAGTAAGCGATGAAGCAGGTTATAGTACTTTTGGGCTAAAGAGCACGACTAGGACAAAAGACGATGGTACCAGTGATAAGAATATTTTTACCTCTCCTGCTGATAAAAATGAAAACAATAGAATAACAGGAGATGATGTAAGTACTATTAGCTCACTAAATACTCAAGATGATAAAACAGGGACTGATACTGCCTCAACTAAACCGTCGGATAATCCAGAAAATACAAAAATTTCAACTGAAGACGACGTAAGTAATAAAGGTACAACAAATGATAGAAGAATAACATCTAGTGAACCTGAGATTGGCAGCACATCTGATAAAAATTTGGAAAAAACAAAAATTGAAATAATACCAACTACAGAAACAGGCAGTGTGATCACGGAACAAACAAAATCATCTGGTATTCCAAGAACTGGAAGTCCTGTAACAAGTACGAACACTGATTCTGAATTCAAAACAAGCGAAATACCTCAGAATACTGGAACAACTAGCACTGCAGAAGGCAGAACAGATATCAGTCTTGAAACAAAAGATGATACAGGAGCATCCACTGCAGTGAGTACTGACAGCGGAAAAGGAAAAGAAATCATACCTACAGGAGAAGGTACACCACCTTCTGGCGTCACAGATGAAAAAACAGGCACAGATAGTGCTAGTACGATAACACTGGACTACAATTTTACAGATGAAAGCACTCCTACAACTCATCACACAACACAACATCCTTGTTTAACACATACTCACAGCACTGAAAAACCAACAGTACCCCCTAAGACGAAATGTGAAAAGGATGATATTGATTGCATAACGAAAGAAACTGGTGATGTAGAAAAGTGGTATAAATGTCCTAAAAGACAAGGAAACTTTCCACATCCAAGCACTGATCGTCTTTTCATATACTGTAGAAACTGGAAACCTCGCATTAAGAGATGCGCAAAAGATCTTGTATTTTCACCAGCGTATATGAGATGCATTCGACCATAATTTCAAAAGAACCAAATTGAGGAACTTGTAAATTTTCCTATTTTTCACACAAATCCATTGTAATCATTAATGTATCAGTATTGCAGCGTTCTGTAAATAAATATTTATACAAAGCTACAATTTATTTAAACTATTAAACATAATCGTACAGTAAAATCTGAAAATCAATAAACATCACATAATCTATAATAGTATAAGATTTTAAGGCAAATGAAGGACTGCATAGAGCAGAACTGAAAAGTCTAAAAGCTGTTAAATTCGGCATACCAGATATTTGAAAGTCAGTATGCAACTGGAAATAAGTTTTTCAAATTTAAATTTAATCCTTTTACCTTTCATATTGAAGGAGATTGACACGGATTAGATGTATTTCTTTAACAAGTAATAATAGGCAAATTTTCTTCATCGCAGAATTTCATTCGTTGCGTTATCGGATATATAGCAGATCAATCTTCGAAATAATGTTTATTCCGAATCTCTACTTCAATTTCGATTTCCGCAGTTTCTCATACTCTCTTAAAATTTTCGCAGATTTTAAAAACAATCTTTTGCTCTCTTTAAAGAGAAATAATGAAAAATATTAGTTGCCAATTTCCTTCAATTTTTAATAGATCCCATTATGATTTCATAAGGATGAAGATGAATATTTCTTTCGTTCACTTATCATATGGTCTTCGCTTAGCATTTTGAAGTCCACACATGAAATCCTTTTTAAAGTGTGATATCACATATTTGACGTATTAAATCGCAAGTGAGGGGATTCACTAATTTTTAGACGAACCATAACGATGATAATAAGTTCTGAATGATAACCATGCTGAATGATAATACGTTTAAACAGGAAAATATATAATTATTTATTAAAAGAGACAGAGCTTATTTAAGAGCAAATATTTTTATTTTCACATGCGAAAATATCAGATTATTTTTAATCAAAAGCTATAAATTCCAGATCTATATATTTCTTAAAACAGTTTCTTATCTTTATTTTTTATTTATTTTTTAAATTATTCATTTGCTATATTTTTCACATACATAAAACATTCAAATTACATTTAGGTGGTAGTACATTATGAATGGATGGACTTGCTGCTCATTTTCTCCTAATGTCTATGTTTACTAATTAATAAAAGTACTCCGTTAAAGCATTAATATAATCTTGAAGATCACAGATCAGCTGTCTTAGACTTGTACGTGACTTCTAAATGAAGCCTTTGATAGTATTTCATCCTACATATTCATGGGCGATCAAAAAAAAAAAAACACAAAATATGTGTCTCAATAATCGGAGAATGTCGAAAGCCTGTTTAAAGGAAACTCAGAAATAATATCTGGTTCATTTCAATAAAAACGGTTAAAATGGCACGACTCAAGCTCGAAGCTGCAACTAAAGGGTAGTTAGAATATGCGCTCTACTTCCCACTCATTTATCCTTTCCAGTCTTCTTGATTGGTGAACTTCACTAGTTTAACTTATTTCATTGTATTTCTTTGATTGTATTTCTTTGTTAAAAATTTATCAAGCTCGTTAAAGAAATTATCTTAACATCAAGCTTGACGTTTTAAACAATTTGCTATATTTGTCAGTTACAAATGCTACAACTCAATGCATCTCAGTTAGTGGGCGGATCTGAAAATAAAAGTAGGTATAGTTAGTGTGATGTCCTAACCTCTATGAGAAGCATAAACTCTTCGGATGATTCAATACAGAATAGGCATCGTCAGTCAAACATTCAAAGACTTCCATGACAGTGAGTTCTTCTTTAACCAAAAAAAAAAAATCTGAAATGTTTCAGATTTTTAAATTACGTCCAAAGGGGCGTTTTTTAACATTTTGTGTGTTACCTTTATTATTAAACCATCATGTTCCTCGCACTTAAACCATATAAGATTCCTTAAGATTGTTGCTTAATTAACAGCAATATCGCAAAATAAGTTTTAAAACGAGCCATATCTTTAGAATTTCCGATACAGAGACTCACGCGCTGGAGATAAAAGTGTTTTTTCTGCACAAACGTTGCCATTGCTCGCTTTTGAAATCCCTTGAGTTGTCTTGTTAATCAAAAATTCGTTCAAAGTTTTTAAAAATAGGAAATCGATCATAAAACAAATTTCAAATTTTCAAATTTGGTCTTCCACATGCTCATATTCGTTGGAGGATTACGTTATTCAAAATTCGATGACCCTATGTACCGTTGTTTTATCACAATACGAGAAATATATACATTTATGCAGCAGATTTTTCATTATTTAATTTCTTCAAATATAATGCAGGACTCTAACATTTTGTGGCAACAGTTTGAAAAGTGAACCGACATTTATGAGTCCGACGCAAAATGCCAAAACGAAACTGATAGTCGTTCGGGATTCAAATCCCTTTGGACTAATTAGGGCTTCCAGATGCCTACATCCGGTGAAGGATTACGTTATTCAAAATTTAATGGGTATAAGTAAAGTTGTTTTATCACAATGGGAGAAACATATATATATTTATGCAGATTCTTCATTATTTTATTGCTTTAACGCACGGCGATAATATTTGGTGGGAACAATTTGAAAAGTGAAACGGACATTTAATGTTTTCAACGCAAAATGCTAAAATGAAATTAATAGCCTTTCTGGGCTAACGCCCTTTGAGCTAAAACAAAAGAAAAGAAAAAATCTGAAAACTTTCAGATTTTATATTACGCCAAAAAGGGTGTTTTTTAACGTTTAGTGTGTTACCTTTATTTATTAAATGTCATGTTCTTCGCACTTAAACCACATAAAATTCAATTCAACAGCAACATCACAAAATATTCAAAAACAGCAAAATAGCATATCTTTAGAATTTCCAATACACAGTTCTCGCGCGCTGGAGATAAAAACTTTTTTTTTCGTGAAGTGTTGCCATTGCTCGCCTTGAAATAGTTGAGTTTGTTAATCAAAAATTCGTTAAAGTTTCACAAAGCTTGAAATAGATTATAAACCAAATTCAAAATTCGGGCTTCCAAGTGCCCATGTTCGGTTGGAGGATTACGTTATTCAAAATTGGATGGCTCTAGTCACCGTTGTTTATTCACAATGCGAGAAATATTCATGCATTAATGCAAATTCTTCATTACTTAGTTTCTTTTAAAAAAATACGTGGCATAAATACATGGCATAAAAAAATACATATTTGGTGGAAAGAGTTTGAAAAGTGAACCAACGCAGAAAGTGAAATGACGCAAAATGCAGTTTTGACACTAATAGCCCTTTGGGTCTAACGCCCCTGTGTGCTAAAAAGAGGAAATATTATGGTTCTCTCTTACCCAAGCCATACCTCTGTTCACTTTCAGGGATGAAAACTGATGCGACGAGTCACGTTTTGTTAGAAATGCTTCTGTTGTTTGCTGTTTGAATAATCAAGAAAACCAAGACGAAGAAGATCTTATGATTGTACTGTGAAATCAAGATTATTTGTGCATTAACACAACTAAAGCGTTTTCAATAGGATATCCTCTTTCTATCGCAGTTTCATTAAACAATCATGCATCAAAACAACTACGAAATCTTTATTTAATAACAACACACTTTTACTTAACTTCAGTACACACACACACGCGCACACACATACATTAAAAAATATATATATATTTAACAGTCTTCACAGCAAAATCGGAATGTTGAAAAAAAGGAACTTGCACAGACTTTATTTAGCGAATTCATTTAGTCTTTTAAAAGCAACAGGGAAAATATTATAACAACTAAACAAAATATAGGAAATTTCAAATTTAGTAATTTGATATTTTGCTTTTGTCAGTTCCAAATATTCAACTCAAAACAAATCTCAGTTAATGGGCGCGTTTAGAAATAAAAGTAGGTGTAGGAGTTTGATGTCCTAGCCTGTTTGAGAATGGAAATTTCGTTTTTTCAAAAATTCAGCATACGCCCGTAATAAAATTTGATTCTTCCTTTGTACTAAATTAGCATTTTAGTTTTCTCGATATAGGCGTTCCGGTTTAGAGGCGTGGCCAATAAATTCACTTGACTTCCGTTTTTTTGACTCATGTTGGTGTTCTAATTCTGCACTGCTGACCATTAAAATTGCAACAGCAGGAAGAAATGATCTGACGAACGTCAAAATCGTATAAAAGGAAGAAGAGGTTGGGATATGCAAATGATTAGTATTTCAGCGCATTTAGGCTACGAAGGAAGGAGAAACGATATCTGAAGTTCTGAACACAAGAAAAGTTGTGTGGTGGATTTCTCATTTGGAAAGCGCTTTGTAAGGTCGGAGTTTACTCAGAATATCGTGTTATGTCTCGAATATGCTCCAGCAAGTATCGGAATGCGATAGAGGTAGGATCGTTGCCGATCGAGAGTGTGGATTATCGATCCGTGATATCGCCCATGCACTGGTCAACATCCAATCGCTATCATGCTAATATGGAATCAATGGGTTGCTGACGGTCATACTGAACGGCATGCAGGAAGACCTCCTATGACTAACGCCCGAGAGAACACGACATATTGTGAGGTCAGCCCTGGAAAACCGTACCATTAGTCTGGAAAGGACTGGACGGACCATTAGTCTGGAAAGGGCATGTTTGCAACACGCATAGTATCCGCTTGTACGGGGCGTCGACGTTTCAGCCGCAAGGACTCAACACGACCATTACTTCGGCTTTCCTTGACAATGCAGCATAGAGAGAGAGACGGCGACTCTGGTGCGCCGAACGACAAAGCTGGATACAGGAATGGCACAACTTCTTTCCAGACGAATCCTCCCAATCTTCGTGCAGTATTCTGATGGCCGTATACGTGTCTGGAGGCTCCGAGGAGAGCGCACGTCGCCTGCTTGTATTCGACATCAGCATAGGAGCCCTGCACCTGGTGTAATGGTTTGGGCATCCATTGAGTGCACGAGAGCCAATTGAATTATTTGTAGATTTAATAGCTTTTACGAGAGACCTAATTGCATTTCAGTTGTGCGTATTTAGTGTAATGAGAAACAAGAGATGCGTTTTATTAGTGATAGAGTTTAATTACTTTGTAGCATTTCATTCATACATGCGAGAGGCGCCGCATCAGCCAATTAGCAAGAAATGAACATCACGTGTTCTGTTTTACGTCGCATTTCCTCTCTTTCCTCAAAGT